CCCTTGGTTTCATTAATGCGATGCATGCGTTCCATGATGTTGTATTGCACTCATTGATCTACCAGTTATGTTGAATGATTTCTCTTTTAATATCAATTACTCACAAATACTTCATATATTTCAATCATACAAACAACTGCTCATTCAATGTGTGACGGGCGTATTATATACCGCTCGCGGTAACCTTGTTATGAATCTATTTCAGTCAAATCCGATCGTTATTTTCCATAAGGAGTCTCACTTGATATGTTTATGTAGTATTTGAAAAAAGGACACAAAAAATAGTTACCTAACCGTGATGCCCCTTTAAGTATGCAAAGTAGTTTGTCATCAATCAAAATGTATACACCTGAACTCAGTAAAAACATGGACATGTACATTCATTCTGCTCAGAATACCCTGCATCAGACTACTGTCACATTCTTATCAACCTCACCGTACTGGTTAAACTTTCACAAATCAAATCTGTTGTTAATGTAAATTAATATATGTACTATAATACAGAAATCACAGGTGATATATTGACATGGCTTGTATTACGAAGTGTTGAATTTACCATGTTACCTCACTGTATTTCCCACAGGAACACTTCTGGAGCCTTGATGAGACAGAACAACGCCTGCCTCCAAACGTTGTCATGCAGATCTGGGACAATGATAAGTTCTCCATGGATGATTTTCTAGGTAAGTCAGCCTCCAACCTTCCATAGAAATAACAGTGTTTAGATTAAGTGTAGTTGTAGAGGGACTTTTATTACTCTACCATTAAATAATAATTATTTCTAACCAATTAAGACAGACAGTCTTATACGTTGTTTTCCATTATTTTTTTCTTTTTCTCTGTGGAACACGTACAGATTATGTAAACTTATCTTCTTGCAAAACACTGCTTAAGAAGGGTGGATAGAGAAGAGAGCCCATACTCAAGAATGTTGAAGTGTGATGTCAGGTTATTTACTTTTTAAAATCTCCTAAGTAACCAAGATGTGATGCTAGCTAGGTCTAATATTGTCTCTTACATATACTTTTAAAAGTAACCAAGATGTGATGTTAGTTCTCATATTGTTTGCTTGGGAGAAATCTCTTAAAATTAAGTAGCCAAAATGTGAAGTCCCATCTCATATCACTTACCTGGGAGAATTCTCTTAAGTAAGATCTCACACGCATCATTACCTTTTTCCTACAGGAACCCTATCAATAAACCTGAGTGCAATGCCAAAACCAGCCAAGAAAGCATCAGATTGTACTCTACGTCAGCTGCCGGACCTACAGACAGGTCACGAGGTCAAACTTGTCTCATTGTTTGAACAGAAGCGACTCAAGGGATTCTGGCCCTGTTTCAATGACGAAACTGGAGAACGTGTTCTAACGGTAATGGTCACGAGAGGTTTAACTATTGTGTATGAAAAATGTTGCTTGTTATTCTTGCAAAATGATATTGATATAGATAGTTAGAAGATTTATTATGATTTGTATGTCACAGGATAAGAATGTGAGTTTTGTACATTGTTTGTCAAATGATAAAGTTGAGAGATTTATACTTTGTATGTTCTAGGGTGGGATTGATAAGGTTGAGAGATTTGTACTGTGTGTGTTCTAGGGTGGGATTGATAAAGTGGAGAGATTTGTACTGCCGTGTGTTCTAGGGTGGAATTGATAAAGTTGAGAATTTATACTTTGTGTGTACTAGGGTAAGATTGATAAAGTTGGGAGATTTATACATTGTGTGTTCTAGGGTTGGATTGATAAAGTTGGGAGATTTATACATTGTGTGTTCTAGGGTTGGATTGATACAGTTGAGAATTTCTACTTTGTGTGTTCTAAGGTGGGATTGATAAGGTTGAGAGATTTGTAATTTGTGTGTTCTAGGGTTGGATTGATAAAGTTGACAGATTTATACTGTGTGTTCTAGGGTTGGATTGATAAAGTTGAGAATTTCTACTTTGTGTGTTCTAGGGTGGGCTTGATAAAGTTGAGACATTTGTACTGTGTGTGTTCTAGGGTAGGATTGATAAAGTTGCGTGATTTATACTTTGCGTGTTCTAGGGTGGGAGTGATAGAGTTGAGAGATTGATACTTTGTGTGTTCTCGGGTGGGATTGATAACGTTGAGAGATTTGTACTGCCGTGTGTTCTAGGGTGGAATTGATAAAGTTGAGACATTTGTACTGTGTGTGTTCTATGGTAGGATTGATAAAGTTGGGAGATTTATACTTTCTGTGTTCTAGGGTAAGATTTATAAAGTTGAGTGATTTACACTTTGTGTGTTCTAGGGTGGGCTTGATAAAGTTGAGACATTTATACTGTGTGCTCTATGGTGGGATTGATAAAGTGGAGAGATTTGTACTGTGTGTGTTCTAGGGTGGGCTTGATAAAGTTGAGAGATTTGTGCTTTGTGTGTACTGGGGTGGGATTGATAAAGATGAGAGATTTATACTTTATGTGTTCTAGATAGGGTGGGAGTGATAAAGTTGAGAGATTTAAACTTTGTATGTTCTAGGGTGGCATTGATAAGGTTGAGAGATTTATACCTTGTATGTTCTAGGGTGGGAGTGATAGAGTTGAGAGATTGATACTTTGTGTGTTCTAAGGTGGGATTGATAAGGATGAGAGATTTGTACTGCCGTGTGTTCTAGGGTGGGCTTGATAAAGTTGAGAGCTTTATACTTTGTGTGTACTAGGGTAAGATTGAAAAGGTTGAGAGATTTGTACTTTGTGTGTTCTCGGGTGGGATTGATAACGTTGAGAGATTTGTACTGACGTGTGTTCTAGGGTAAGATTTATAAAGTTGAGTGATTTACACTTTGTGTGTTCTAAGGTGGGATTGATAAGGATGAGAGATTTGTACTTTGTTTGTTCTAGGGTGGGAGTGATAAAGTTGAGAGCTTTATACTTTGTGTGTACTAGGGTAAGATTGATAAAGTTGACAGATTTATACTGTGTGCTCTATGGGGGGATTGATAAAGCTGAGTGATTTATACTGTGTGCTCTATGGGGGGATTGATAAAGTTGCGAGATTTGTACTGACGTGTGTTCTAGGGTGGAATTGATAAAGTTGAGACATTTGTACTGTGTGTGTTCTAGGGTTGGATTGATACAGTTGAGAGATTTGTGCTTTGTGTGTACTGGGGTGGGATTGATAAGGATGAGAGATTTGTACTGTGTGTGTTCTATGGTAGGATTGATAAAGTTGCGAGATTTGTACTGACGTGTGTTCTAGGGTGGCATTGATAAAGTTGAGAGATTTATACTTTGTGTGTTCTAGATAGGGTGGGATTGATAAAGTTGAGAGATTTGTACTGACGTGTGTTCTAGGGTAAGATTGATAAGGTTGAGAGATTTATACTTTGTGTGTTCTAGGGTAAGGTTGAGATGGAGTTGGAACTTGTATCATTACAAGAGGCTGATGAGCGCCCTGCAGGACAGGGACAGGAGGAGCCCAACATGAACCCCCATCTGGACCCTCCCAAGTAAGTACAGGTCATGTGCCCCAGCCCTTCGGTACTCGTAGATAGAGTTCTAATGTTAAGATTCCTAGAGTGAATGAATCTGTGACATATATATAGTGGTGCCTTGGTTATCCAGCTAATTAACATGCTTGAAGGACTGCCACACTTTTTTGAATTAAGAAGGGAAATCTGTCCTGAAAAGTCAACTTGAGTGTTTGAACATATAACATTTATATTGATTATTGTGGGGAGGGGAGGGACACATCTGTGAAATCAAGTACATTGTAATGCGTTTTCCTGCTACTATATAGCGATCTTTGTAAAGCTTACTTAGGGTGTGTAATATAAATTTGTTTTACATAAAAAAATGTTTTACTCAAGCTGACTTAGTAACTAGCCAGATTAATAAGTGGTGACAGGATAATGGGACATTAAGACAAATAATGGCAGGAGTCATGGAGCTGTTATTGTTGGCATTGATACTACTGCACATCAGGTTATTAACATGCTGTGCAATTTTTTTATCAAATCATATTTTAGTGGGTGTTTTCATGTCTTATTTTGTTAATACTATCACATTCATCCATGATGCGTGATAAATGCCGAATAACTTCCAACTTTAACATAAAAACAAAGGCTTGATCTAATCTATTACGACATTGGCCATTTTTCTTTATCATGTATTTTAATCTTTAACATGAAGTAAAACTTTTAAAAGTGATTTTGAATGGATACCTTATTACGGTCATCAATGGGTTGTTTTATAGAACAAGCAAGGCGTCTTCTCATTTTACACATTCAATTCCAGGCGACCAGAGACATCGTTCCTGTGGTTCACATCCCCATGGAAGACATTCAAGTTCATCATCTGGCGCAGATACAAGTGGTGGTTCATCGGATCCCTCATTATCCTCCTCCTCATCATTCTCCTGGCACTTTTCATCTACTCCTTCCCGGTAATTACTTATATCTACGTAGAAATCTTGCGACATTTGCTTTACACTTGTCCAGATGTAGACGAACCTTGATTTCAGGGTATCAGAGACTTTGATTGCCCTGTGATTTTCATGTTTTTTTCATGAAAAAACTTTCTGGCAAAAAAGTATTTTAGCTTTGAGAAATCTGGTTAATAATGCAGCATTTACTGTGTCATTTTTTAACTGTTGTTTTATAACGTCCGTTCCGTTTAGATGGACTGTTGTTTTATAACCTCCATTCCGTTAATATGAACTGTTGTTTTATAACTGTTGTATCATTAAACAATATGTGTTATAAATGTTCTTTGTTTTGCCTTTCACGCAGTTTAACTTCTGTTCTGTTTTACAGGGTGCATTCAACAACTGGATCCTGGGGAACTAACCAATCGCATAAACACTGTGTGTTTCAATGAGCAACGAGCTACGAACAATAGAACAAATGACCTGTGGTTTTATAGAACAACGATGAAAATACAAAGATACCTGTTCAGCACATTACCTATTTACATCCGACTGGAACCTGTCGGAATTGCCGTATTTTCACTATGGGTAACTTTTCTCTATACACCTATTGAACATCAAAACATTGTTGAATTTCAACAGAAATAAACAACATAGGTTACAACATGTTCCTGGGGAATAGGTGATAAAAGAAGGGAAAAGAGCATGTTTAGTTTCCTCGGATGGAAATTTGATATACATATACTCATGGACTCTGTAGAATTTGTGTAGTGATCAGAACTGTATTACTATAATTTTTTCAAGTTTGAAAAACTGTTGAAAATTTCTGTATCACATTGTTGAGAAAGCTGTTCTTGTTGTTGTGTGTAGTTTAGGAGAAGATAGTGTCCTGATCATCTATCTGGATGGTAAGAAATTTACCACAAATTGTTATAGAAATTTAATTCAGTAGATACTTACTAACACTTGAGATTCTTATTGCTTGTACCTTCACCTCCCCTCTTTTTCACTGTTGGGCTGTCCTGCATTTGTTCTGGATGGTACTATTGTCATAAAGAAGGTAGACAAGGTGTATAGATGTGAAATGTAAGAAAATTTATTAAGAGAGAGTGAATTGATTGTAACTGTTTTGTCATGTTGCGCTGATATTCTAGTATGTTATGTTAAAATCATAAAATGTTTTGTAAAATATTGATTCTGTTGTTGACAATGTATAAAATGAAATGCAAAGTTATATGTTGATGTATTGAAGGATCCCTGTACCACTGTCTGAAAATGTTACTAACAAACGAAAACTTTTACCAGCATGACAATGACTTTTTATATGTTGTCATATCTTGAGAAGAAACCATACCATACAAAACGTTTCAGAAAATGTAAACGATATGCAATAAACAAAAGTATTAAGAAGTAAAGAAATTATTCCACAATAGTGTTTTGATAATAAAAGAGGAATGGGGTCAGGCAAGGATTTCAGCAATTGACCTTTGATCATAATACCTGGTAGTCATTCTTGCCAATCCACAAGCTACCTGAACAAATTAAGGGGAAGTAACTCTAGGTAAAGAAATCTACAGTAAAACAGGGACAATTGCACTCAAACCTTTGAGTCTGTCCGTTAGACTGGAAGAAGGAGAAGAACTCTCCAATGTTTTTTAACCTGTGATATGGGAATCCTTAAGGAGATACACTACTGTAGAGCCTATATCTCACAGTCGGGGTTCACACTGTTATACAGAATAGACTGTCATCTAATGTGAAAGATAGAATAAATGGTAGTATTGTTATGATTAATCGCCCATTCCTAAAGTTATCAATTTGCCAATTTTCATCTAAAAACTCTCCAATAATATTTTGTAAAAAGTTGTTTTTTCTATGTTTATCTCCTGATATTTTATTAATGATTGGTTCTTGGCATATGGCTATAGCTATAGTTATCATTTTTTTGTGAACTTCTGTGAGAGTTTTTTTTTTCTAGGTATGAAGCGGGCAAAAACCTGTAGAGATTGAGTTATCTTATACCTAGCCTTGTATTAAACTTATCATGACCAGGCTGTGCTTTTCTTCACATACTTGCCACAAACATGGAGAAGAGGTTCTCGTCTTGCCTACCATACTTGATTGAATCAAATCATGTAATGTATATCTGGAGAAGTGTATGATATTTTGTATACAAAACCTAGTTATGAAGTAAGTATTCTAATTTTACATGTATTTTTACAAAATTTAATTCCTAGGTTTTGTTAAAATAATTTGTTGAAATCAAACTTCAACTTCCGTAATTTGAAAGGGAAGAAATTTTTAAGATCAAAATTTTGTTTAACAGTAGAACAAAAAAAAGCCATATCTGCAACAAAAAGAAACTCACAAAAGCTATTTTATCTTAAGTTTCACTCTATTTTTGTAACCAATATGCATTTTAATCTTATCAATGTATCTAAATGACAATGTGTGCCTTTTTATAACCAACTGTACTTGTTTGACAAGATGTCAGTGAATTTGAACTTTGTACGTCCCAGCAACCACCGATGGACCAAGACCTGCGGACATACAATGTTATTGTACATATATAGTTTAATATCATGTAGAATTGTGTTGTTATAGATAATACTTAACTGTTATCACTTCATGATTACATTTCATCTTTATTTCACCCTCCAGCCAAATAGTTACCTTTTTGTTTAGAACCCTTTTAGTACTTTATAATAACGGAAACATGACGCAAATCTTTGATAAAGTGTATTATCAAAGTTATCAAAGTTAAATTGTTGTTTCCATTCCGAACAAATATTTTTTTTGTGTTGAATCCACTTTATATTCAGCAATGATCAAAGGTTTAAATGCGACTTTAGAAACTCTGTAAAACAGGCCCTGTGTCAGTGTGGGAAATCTTTACCTAGTATATCAGTGTCTGTTTTGGTGTGAAAAATGATCTACCAATTATCTGTCCTGACACAGATAAATGTTGTAACTTTCCACTCTGGAGTTTGTCAGAGTGGACACTCATCTGTTGAATGTTATACCATTGAAAATAAGCCTGATTTACCAGCTCAGGGTTTCCTGATGTATTACAATAGTACAACATTGATTCTGGTATCAGTTGTATTGAAAGTCCAGTCACGGTGATCAGGTTTGATTATTACAAAATTAATAAAATAATTTTGGATTGGGTTTCAATTGTTCAGTTCCATTGACATCACACCCTACGATGTTCCTGGAATAAGTTGGAACAGCTTTAATCCTATTTATGGAAATTAAGGGTGGCTGAAAAATAGGTATAAAAATAACTTTAAAAATTCTACATTGAAATTTTTCAAGATCATTGAAGCAAATTATTTTTTATGTAGAAGTTTAAATCAACAAAATCAACAAAATCCGAGTAAAAGGTCACCGGTCTATGACTTCTGTAAACAAGGAGGGTTCTGTGTTCTTACGACAAATATATTAACCATAGACTGAGCACAATGTAAAATATGCATTTAAAATAATCAATCCTACTACATTTCTACTGCTGGGATAGAATGCTTGCCTATTCTTATCTCAAGCATTCGGTGAATCGTGGAGACGGTGGAAACGTCCTGCGTGTTCATGCAATCACAACAGGTGATATTACAGGTGTTGGGATATTACTGTTTTCTACACTTTACAACTTTATATACCTGTGTTAGACATTATATTATATATTTATTAATAATAAACTCCTTTTACAGCACATGGCCTCTTGTTTTATGTGTAAAATTATAGTTTGGTTTGGTTTAATTTTGTTTTACATCCTATTAACAGCTAAGGTCATTTAAGAAAGTGCCTCCATGTGTGTAGTGTATGCATGCTTGCGTGTGTGTATTCAGGAGACGGAGTATGTTGGTGTTCTTGCCTCCTTGTGATAGCGCGGATCTGATGCCGATTCTATAGCGCTTTCTCACTGAAATGCCATGCCAAAGGAACCCAGCACAGCATTCCGCCCGGCCACATTATACAGACAAAGGGTGAACCAGTTGTTGCCATTCCCCTAAATGCTGAACGTTAAACAGGGAATAACAACTACCATTGTTAAGGACTTTGGTATGTCCCGGTCTGGGAACAGAACCCATTGCCTTCCTCACCTGGGCGAAAGCTCAACATTCAAGCCAAAAGTGGGTGTTGTCAAGCAAGGTGCTAGGAAATAAAAGATAGTAAGAAGTAGATAGAAAGATCAAGATCCCAAGTATTGCAATATGTGCAGTAGATTTATTTTGGTCGCTTTCATGTCCCCCAATAGTGGACCCAATTCTGCAAGGGGGTTCCCGCATTAGTCGCCTCCTACGATACATGCAGTGGGTAACAGCAGGTGTATTCTTTTCCTGATCCCCAACCTGCAGGGGTGGTACAGTATTTAATTTGTACTTTTTGTGTCGCCTGCAACGCGCGAGGCGACATAGGTATTACTGTACTTTGTTGGCGTCACCCATATCTGAAGATAAAGTCAAGGTCACCGTTACTATAAATAGAAATTGTGTTTCCATGCGATAACTTAATTGAGTTCCTGAGGGTTGATTGAACTCAATCTTTCTACAGTGCTTTCTTACTAAAAGTGCTTTCTTTGTTTTTCAGGTCCAAAGATCAAATATCAAGGTTAACATTACTATAAATAGAAAATCTGTTTCCTTCCAATAACTAGAGTTTCTTTAGGTTGTTCAAACTCAGACTTCATACAGTGCTTTCTTACCAATAGTGCTTGCTAAGGATTGCTTTTCAGGTCTGAACGTCAAAGTTCAATGTCACTGTTACTATAAATAGAAAAACTATTTCCGTGTGATAAGTCCAGTTTCCTTAGGACAATCAACCTCCAGTCTTCATAATCTCATTAGAATTGCCTGCGCAGGCGACACATCCACTCCTGTGTTATCAAATGTAAAACATTTCTAAACGTCGGAGAAAAAGTAATACATATTATGTTATCACAAGGTTTGTTAACCTTGCTTTATTATTATGATGACAGCAATTAGAGACCAAATTTCCAATTAAAAAAAAAAAAAATGACATGTGATGTGTATGATGGAAATCCTATAAAAAGGTGCATATATGGTTTAGTTTAATTTAAGTAGATTTTATTGCATATTACAACAAATGGATTAGGCACTTATGGTAAAACAGGGAAACTGTTAGTTTTTATCTCTCTTGATTGAAAGAGCCATATAAGCTCCTACTGTAGCACAGCATCGGTCATCTGTATATCATTTGTCCATCAACTTTTCCTTTAATACAAGTTACATGTACTAGTCCACAATGGCGAGTGAGGTTTTCACTTAATTTGGCATGGAGCATTGTTGTATGAATGGAGTGTGTGGCCCCCAGGGTACAGAGGGTTGGGCTAAATATGCCAAATAGAGATAAATCTCTAATTCTTTTCTTTCCTTACAAAAAAAAAGGAATGTTAACCATTTATAATTTGGAGCATCTGTGTTCCAAGTGAAATTAACATTATATAAATGGAGGGCGTGGCCCTCTTACGGATAGAGGGCCAGTGCCCAATGAAAGAGATACAGGGATTTTTTCAGAATTCTTTTCTTGTATGGATTAAAAGTTTGAATAAAAAAAAATCTGGAATGTCTGTAGGCCAAGAGAAATCAACATTGGATAAATGTAGGGTGTGGCCCACCTAGAGGCAGATTGGTGGGGTCCAATAGGGGAACAGAGGAACATCTTTAATATCCTCTTTCCTTACAAAAACAAGATGTTGACAAAAATTAATCTTGGGTATCCTTAACTTGGGAGAGACTTATTGTCGTACAAACTGAGAGCAGAGGGCATCGCCCGATAAAGGAAATATAGGAAAGTATTCAAATTCCTTCTCCTTCCAATGAAGGAATTTCAACCTCATAAACTCTAGAGCAACTTTGTACCTAGTGGGATGGATGTATAAACAATGTATACACAGAGGGTGTGCCCCACCCCCCTGGCGGCAGAGGAATGTGGCCCTAAAGAGAAATTGGTGTTTAATTATCAAAACACTACTTCAGTACTGATAAAGAAATATTTACTAAATTTGGCCTGGAGTAACCTTGAGCCAATATGTTCCCCTTGAGCCAAAGAGGTTGGGCCTAAAATTTGAATTTAAGAGTGCTTTCCCCTCCAAATTCTACTCTTTCTAAACTGCATGGATCGTCACTATATTTGGTTTGAAAATTCAATAGAGCAGTTAAGTTGATCATATTTTGTGTGAATAAAGTTGAATCGAACTCCTGAGGCTGGACATATTGCTTTCCTACTTAAAAACAAGAAAGATTCCCACTGTGTGCACACCGTCCAAATGTGCATAAAGAGACTAATGCGTTCGTGGTACTGGATTTGCCCAGGGTTCCAGTCCCGCACTGGGGACTTAGTCTCTACCTTAAAACTACAAATACTTTTGCTCGGCACTGTGAGAGATAAGTATAAATACAACCATGCATGATCATAACAGAACCTGCTGATCCCAATATTTATAAAAGCAAAACATTCACGCTACCATACCAGAATTTTATAATTAACAATGTGGTATCGTGTGACATATTGTCGGGGAAAGAAGGATATGTAATCTGGAGAACGTTCAACGACTGTTAATAAAGGATAACCAAACTACAAGTCTTAACGCACCAGAGCCCTTCAAACGACGTGGGCTGGCAAAAGTATAGTACATAAGACTTACTGCTTCCTACAAGTTTATAATATGAACACTGTGGACGATGCTGGTAACGATAGATTGTTAATAGAAACCAATTACGCAGCAACAGAAGGTTACCAATGGAAGCAGTTTCGGTGAACTCCACGAAGTGCAATTGCGTGGTTAACCATTGGAACTATCTAACTGCAAATGTGGTGATGACGCCTTAGGTCTGACTAGTTCTAACAAGTTGAAGTCCTCATTGGCGGAACCAGGGACACCCTTAGTTATATTATAACCGTTATTCGAACTCAAAATAGACAAATCTAAAGCTGACTATGAACAAAATGAAATTTTATATAGGGGCCCTTAAAATACAATGAAAACAGAACTTGGTGACATCGCCATGTAAGAATGTGTCCAAGTGATGTCACACCCTCAAAGTAGGGAGCGGGGTAGTGACATTAAACCCTCGAGGCAAGCTAACGAGAATGATAAATATAAAAAAAATAGTTCCTTCATACCAAGGAAATTATGATATTCGGAGCAAGCTCCTGAATGCCGAATCAACTGTGACAATGTAAAGTTCACGATGTGAGTTTGGGAAGCAGGGATGTTACTATTAAAGGGAAAGTTCACGATAGATATATCTAAATCAGCACGCCTATCGTAGAACTTAGCAGTAAGCGGATCCTATTGGTCATGTTGTAATATTTGGGAAGGCTGATGAAGTAGAAGAGCCTGTGGTGTCAATGATTTTTATGTTTAGTAGGGTATCTAGGATTGGCGCGGACAATCAATTTCTTGCTTTTTTAAAGATAGCACATCGTCGGTTTGTCGGGAAATGGTATTAAACAATTTGGAAAGGTTTTTGTCATCAGTCCTGATAATAAGTTTAATCTCATATCAGGACAAAAACAAGTCGGCCAGAAGAGGAATGCAGTTTTGTTTCCAAAGGAATGCTTAGCGACAGTCTGCTTGAAAATCTTCTCTTCGAAAGAAAGACAGAAATTGCAACCAAAACTCAATCATGCTCACGATTTCATCTTCAGTAAAAGCACATTTTATTTTGGCCTAAGTTGTATTTGTTCACAAAATCTTCTCCAAAATTGTTCACAGCCATAGACGTCATTTGCATGTTTTGGAGAAAAATCACATAATCAAAGAATAAAGGTATGAGGTATGTACGGAGCCCCCGACGGCACATGGCCATGGTAAAACATCAAACCGTGCGCACAAATTAATAACCTACTTATGGCATAATGAAATATAAAATGTCCTAATGAAAACATGATGGCTACGTTCCATACTCTTGTCAATAGCCTTCATCCACCTGTATCGTCAGCTGGTAATAGTTAACTGTGACATGTAAACTCGATGCGCAAGGAAGGACGGAAGTTTTTCATTATTCAGGAAATCCAATTCAATATGATCTAACTTTGGAACTGAATTGACCATGGTTGGTGTACGGTACGCTAATGTTACGTTAAACAGTAGACCATGATAACTATAAGACTGTGATGTTCTGAAGTATAAATAAGAAGATACTCAAATACTTGTCATAAGAGTATAAAACATCGTCAATTTATCTACAAGTGAAATTAACGTCCCAGAAAATCACATTCTATTCCTATTCTGTATATACCTGTTCATTGTAAGTTACTATGTAACTGTATGTTTATATATTTTTTGGTTTGTAAAATAAAATAAATTTATATTGATTTTTAGGTCACCTGAGCTTTGCTCAAGTGACCTATTTTGATCGCTTTCTGTCCGTCGTCGGCCGTCGTGCATCGTGCGTAAACTTTTTACATTTTCGACTGCTTCTCAAGAACCAGTGGATGGAATTTTTACAAACTTGGTCAGAATCATCCTTGGTAGATGAGGCTACAAAATTGTAAATTTGGGATTCCTCCCCCAACCCTTGGGGCCGGAACAGGGCCCGAAAGGGAAAAGTAACCGATATTTCAAAAATTGTCTTCTCCAGACTTAGAGGTACTACAGTCATTTTCTCTGCATTGATACTATAGTTTATATAGGGAAATTAACCTTTTGGGTATATTTTGAGTATTTTCTTCAGGAAATTATTCTTACTTGGTGAGAATCGTCCTTAGAGGAAGATGGTTTCAAAATGTAAAATTTTGATTCCTACCCCAACCCCAGGGGTAAGGGCGGGGCACAAAAGGGAAAATTAACCAATATTTTAAACATTCTCTTCTCCAGACTCAGAGGTACAACAGTCATTTTCTGTGCATGGATGGAAAGATCATCAGGGGCTTTATTTCAATTGTAAATATCACTACCCCTGGGCTATCCGTTCTCCCTTGAGGAGGGGGTAAAGTTCACTTTAGTTTATATAGGGAAACAACACTTTTGGGTATATTTTGACAATTTTCGGTAGGAAATTATTCTTACTTGGTGAGATTCATCCTTGGAGGAAAGTGGTTTTCAAATTGTAAAATTTGGATTCCTACCCCAACCCCAGGGGCCAGGGCGGGCCCCAAAGGGAAAATTAAATGTATATTTCAGGACCTCCGGGCCATCCGTTCTACATTGGGGAGGGGGTAAAGTTTACTATAGTTTATAAAGGGAAATAACACATTTGGTTGGGTATATTTTATTCATTTTCAGCAGAAAATTATTCAAACTGTCAGAATCATTTTGGTGGATGAGGGTATTACATAGCAAATTTAGGATTCCTACCCCATCCCCATGGGGCTAGGGCAGTGCCCCATAGGGAAAATTTACCAATATTTTTAAAATTCTTATCCTTTGATGACATGACAAGTTTTGTATTTCATTTTGTATACATATTGATTTCCACATCACATCTTATCTCAACAATGAAATTGAGCTACCAGTATCTATAATATAACTAATTGGGAATCTTTAGCACAACGTAGAGCAAAATCCAGACTAACCATGATGTACAAGATCATAAACGGGCACATCGCTATTCCATCAGCCGAGTACCTTACTCAAGGGGACAGGAGAACAAGGGGGGCTCACAAATTTCATCAGATCACAACCGCATCAAATCAATATAAATATTCATATACGAAAATACCCTAAAAAATAAGCTTTTAACTGCCACCTCTAGGAACCCCTCACAATGACAATTGCACCCCATCAAGGAGATCTGTCACTTAATGGAAGATGATGATGATGAACTCAGGTGACTACGGAAACGTAAATGGACCTCTACTTGTTGTAATAAATGTCACTTTATCGACATAAGGTATGTCGACTTAACGACATTTTACACAAGATCTCGTTATATAAATGTCGATATTTCGTGATATATCATAACTTTCCGTAATACTTTAGATGTAAAAACAAAATGTCGAGATGCGGCAAATCGACATATCGATAAGGTTCATAAATTTAAGTCGATATTTTGTGTTGTATCAAAACTTATCGCCAAAAATAGTCGTGAAAAATGAATAATACAGTTGTGGAAACTAGAAGAAAATAGAATGTCAATAAATAAAAGTCGACATATTGCATTGTATGCAACAAGTTGACATAAACATATCAACATCGTATAATTACGCGTACAGAGTAGTCTGTTAGTACTAGCAAGAGGATTGACCAATCTAGCTGTATGCAGGGACGAATGAAACGGTAAGCTTTTAGTATATAATTATCATATTTACATTTAAACCCACTAGCGAAGATCCAATTTGGTAACCCCCCCCCCCCAACCCTGAAGTCATATATTGACCAACAACGTCTTATACAAGGGTGTAATGTGTGATGTCCAACATCCAGGGTATAGATATATTTCTTTGAATTTACACTTTAAACAGGGACGTAACCAGGCGTACGCACGGGCTTCCACGTATTTTTTTCAAGTATACTTTTAACAAGGATCACATCGTAGAACTGTATGTGATAAACTTTAACAACTCATATAATCCTGGGCCCTCAGTGAATTCATAATCTCATTGATATTGTTTCTTTTATTGACTAGGCCTATTTAACGAAAATGTTCCTAATTGTTCATATGGAACTAATTATAATGCATTTGATAAAAAAATACTACAAGCCAAATGTGAAAATGATAAGTATTTTATGTCTCAAACTGCACCAGAATGGGTTCCAGATTAAAAAAAAATCTCGGGGGAGGGGGGTAACCCCCCACCCCCTACTCGCGCTTCGTATGCTTCCACATACTAATAGTCCTGGTTACGTCCCTGACTTAAACATTGTATAAATTTACGTTTATTTTATCAAACAGTAAATTCTTATTCCTTTTTTTAATGCTNCCCCCCACACACACACACCCCATCCACCCACCCACCCACACACACACACACACACAAGTATTCGCTTTGTTTAATTAAATCCACTCTCCACCCTCTAAAGATGTAAGTTCCTCCCACTGATTAGATCTATTAATTATTCTTTCCTGAATTTTGTTGTTGGTCTGGGTTTTTTATTATAATTTCAAGGGGACATCACTCCATATTATTCCAAGTTTCATGGTGGCTGTTTTTGCATAGGTAGGTAATACTATGATATAAGGTCTAATCTGATTACCGTCGTGATATGTAAAGGGCCCAGACAATAGTCTAAGAATTGTATATAGCTTAAATGTGTAGCCTATGTACTATTGCTTGTCTCATGTTTCTTACAGTTGCAAGTGTTTTGTGTTTGATTTAGGATATGGCGTCATTTACGCACAATACATGAAGCATAAAGCAAAGACGTAATAGAATTACATCTGACGTTATAGCACAGGGGTTGACAAAGATATTGAAAATTGCCCTTGTTTCACCTCTTAGGATTTCCCTGTTGTCTAAGAATAACTTATTTCATACATGTATTAGGAGAGGGGGGTATACAAATGGCAATCAATCGTTATATATTTTATTTTCTTCAACCAGCATGTGAAATTATTCATTGTTCAACATTCATTTACACAAACACAAAAGACTACATTTAATACAACGATTCACAATTACAATACATATATAGAGAAAAGGGACATACCTTTACATACTAACTAACACATGTGATGTTTATACTGGTTACACCATACATGATAATTACTTTTTAAGTAGTTAAGAACTATCATTTCTCAACTACAGTGTATATATCTCTAAAAATAGTTAGACGGAAATCTAGTGAACCATTTTACATAAAAGTAATGCAAAAATACTAAACCTAACTTTAAATAGTAAAGTTAAAATATACAAATTATGGGGAAATTATACAAACTGATACATATTTATCACATAATCGGCCTGTTATCCAGTGAATTCGCCCGTGTAATATTTTTACATATATATATGTTACTAGTGTTATATACCCTGGAGCGTATTTTGATTTCATAATATGGACAATGACATGACGTCATAAATTGTGAATGGCGCAACAAAATGTCTGTCTCTGTTTGATTAAGCCCTCTACATTTGGCTTTAAAACCTGTCAAAATGTAAGTTTTCTGAGTTATGTGATAAAAAGGATTTTAAATTTGTTTTCATTTCATATGAGCTTTTATGAAACACGTCTCGAAGTTTTATTTTTTTTCCCGCGAAGGGTTGCAAAAATAAAAACTCCTAAGACTTGTGTCATAAAATCTCATATGAATGAAAACTCATTTAAGATCCTTAATATGTATATATTACACACCTGTGTATGGCACAAACCCATGGTGAACAGATGATCATTCCATCAAATGAAACTCTAAATAGTTATTCATTCTATCAATGAGATACAACCTTTCTCTCGGTAATGATAAAATTGCACTGATCATTACCCTGTTTAGTGTTAAAATATTCATGAGAGTTCACACATGAAATACACTAAACATAAAGACCACAGACCAGATGGTCAATAATTCAAACATCTGATAATTTACATAAAGTTTTATTAATATACTAATTCACAATAGATTTTACTTTTCTAGAACCCTAACCAAACTACTTTAAATGTGAAGAAATTATTTATTAAAGAAAATAGAGAAAATGAACAGTTCAAGTAGTATGTCTGATATGTCTATGGCCAGTATGTCAGCTCTGTCTGACAGCTTTTCCTAAACAGACACAAAGAACTCCTGCCAAATGTGACCAAAGAATACTGACCAGTGAAAACAATCTACTGACCAATAGCACACTGGACTTTACAGAACCACTGCATGGCATACTACATGTATAAACATACACACATGTATGTAAATAACATAGTTATACAGGTAAACATCACACCATGTGACATGTACATCACACCATGTGACATGTACATCATAATAACAACACATACACATCACATGTTTGGTAGAACATAGCACAGCATAATACATTAAAACTCTGCTACACATGCATGCATGTGTGTAAAATATTGTATGTATACTCTTATTGAAATGAAACGCTATTGAAAAAAGTTCTTATCCGTATAGTTTTGTACCATTGAAACTCCGTTTAAACCCCATTTTTCTTTCCTGTGGAAAACCATGCTTACTATATCATATGTGTTGCTATTTATGAGAAACCAGTTATTTTCCATTTAGGCACCATTTCTTTCTCTAAAAATCAGTAAAACTCCATTTACTTTTCATATATTTGAGCCAAATATGCTTTGCCAATATATGGTAAAATCCAATTACCATAAAAAATGGATTTTAAATGAGGTACATTGCATTAATTTTCAATTGAATTATGAATTTGGTTTGGTAATTAATGGTATAATTAATGTGTCAATGAAACTTCCAGCCAACAAAATATTTGATAGAAAACATCCACCAGTCACTTTCAGTATTCTCAATTCCATAATATTTTGACAATGTTTAAAATAACTTTCAATTATGTTGGAGTGAACTTCTCAACAATTATGTATACATGTCTTGATAAGTTGTGTTGTAAGGTTAAACATTTCTGAATTGGATTTAAACATCTTTTCAAAACATCTCAAATTAAAATGTTTTGTATATATGGCAAACCAACTGGCATGGCTGGTATAAATATTCAAATTCTCAATTCTCAACAAACTTTAATGCTTATTGATCCAAGCACGGAACAATTATATTTCTTATACCAGGTACATGTATGTTCTAAAAAATGGTATTTCAGTGGCATTTTAATGGTGACTTAATGATTTTTGTACCATTTCTTTTAGCTAAGGGAGTTTTTTTATTTATACTTAATATACCTATAAGTATTGGTGAATAACAGAACTGATTACCATTTTGGAAATTACAAGATTATGCTGGAATTTTGCAGTTTTCTTTATAAGGATATTTGTGTATATCTCATAAAAAGTCAATAGATCTGAGGTGAGTTTGTCTGGTTTCTGTGAAAGATTGTGTATTGTTAAATTAAATATAAATATTTATTTGTATGTTACTGGATTTAATTTTTATTCAACTTGAAGTTATTATGTAAAGTTCTATGAATGAGCAATGCAATATTGATATTTATTTTGTGTTTATCTTTTATTTTAGGGTTGAATAGGAAATTTGACATGGCTGATACAGAGAAACCTGGCTTAGTACCGGAACCGGCGAAAGCCATGAAAGTATTTTCATCTGACCGGTCTATTAGAAAAGGGATCACTTGCTCTAATTACCAGCATTGTGTATCTGTTTGTAAGTACAAATGATAATGGTACATACCAGTATTGACTATTCAAGCTTGAAATATTATTCTTGCTGTCCTGTTTCATCACCTCAATGAATTATACTGTTAATTCAGCTAACTTTCAGTGGGAGAAAAAAAGTAACAATTTTTTGGTCACATGATCAAAAGTATAAAAGTTTCCATTCTGACTTCATCATTACGCCAAAAAGAAAATATGTTAAGGGTTCACATGGTTCATCGCTGATTAGGTCAATTACATGGTTTTATCAACCCAACACATTGATGCAATTTGAGCAGATTTAATTACAATAATTATTCATATGTTATATTCATCATTTCAGGTAAGGAGAAATTTGAGATTGAGGAAGAAGTCACTCTGGTTTTGGAAGAGGATGGAACAGAAGTTGACAGCCAAAGTTACTGGGCTTCATTAAACCCACAAACTGTCCTGATGGTACTCCGACCAGGAGTTGTGTGGCAGCCACTCAGACCTACCCCTTGTAAGTTTTCATTATGTCACTCTGACAGCACTTGTCTTTATGCATATATATCTTACTTTTTGTTTGTTAACAGAATGACATGGTCATAAAATAGTTTGAATCGGGCCTAATAATACAATAATTGTGATTCCAGTATGCCTGCGTTCTGAATAAACAAAAAGAAAAGACACCTGTTAATCACAGGTGTGTCTCACATTTTAGCTGGGAAAGATCAGCTTTTCTCCCACACTTTACAGGTATATTCCCGTTTGCTTCATGGGATTGAGCCCGACAAAGTTTGAGAATGAAAATGACCTTGACCTTCTTTCAAGGTAACCGGAGTCAAATGTGTCAAACTCTTTAAACGACCTCTTCTGAAGAACTAAAAGGTATAGAATCTTTATATTTGGCTGGTGGCTTCCTGGGATAGAGCTCACCAAAGTTTGCGACCTCAACCTACCTTAAGGAAAATTTTAAAGGATTTGTTCTTAAGAACCAAAAGGAATGGATTCATAAGATTTGGCTGGTAGCTATTTGGAATAGAGCTTACAAAGTATGAGAAGGAAAATGACATTGACCTACTTACAAGGTCACAGGGAAAAATATGTCGAGTTACTTCTGAAGAAGAACCAAAAATAATAGAATCTTATAATAATATATGGCTGGTAGTTTCAACAGATGGAGCTGACAAAGTTTGCGAGGGAAATATTTGTAGCGCAATATAATAATATTTAATGAGAATATTTTGCTATGACTGCTTAAATATTTAGGTGAGCAATACAGGCCCTCTGTGCCTCTTGTTGTTTACAAACATGGCAGTGGAGTTGTGACCTGAAATAATCTTCCCCTACCTATGTGTTAGATTTTTGTGTTTTTTTGTGTTAATATGATGAGTAAAGGGGCACCCAGGGTACTTTTGCGGATGGCGGGATATTGTACGCCTTATTTCTACTGAAAAAGACCCTTAAAAGGCCTTAAAATTAGTAAAAAGCTTTGAATTTCATAGTAGAACTTCTGTGCGAAACCTGTTATAGCATGCATGCCATCTTATATAGTTCTTTATCATGTCATTGTGTAATAGTTCTTTATCATGTCATTGTGTAATATTCTTTTGCATGTAACACAGGTACTGGTACTGGCCATGATGATACTGGAGCAGGTACGTTTGTTTATTTATTATACACCTGTCAAATTTGACGGGAGTATTATGGTATGGGTTTGTCCGGCAATCTCCTCCTACATTTTTCGATCGGTCTCTTTGAAATTTGGTTTACATTATAATCATGATATGAAGTTGTGTCTCCCTTTAAAGAATTTTGATTAGACAATTTTTCCAAAAGTTATTGCCCTTTGTTCATTTCAGTAGTTGATTTTTTTGTCCGGAGATCTCCTCCTACATTTTTTGACAGATTTCTTTGAAACTTAGTAGGCTAAATAATCATTATATGTTGTTGTGTTTCTCTGAAAAGAATTTTGATTTGATAATTTTTCCAAAAGTTGTTGCCCTTTGTTTATTTCAGTATTTGATTTTTGTCCGGCAATCTTCTCCTACATTTTTCAACAGATCTCTTTGAAACTCGGTATCTATTATCATCATGATATGAAATTGTGTCTCCCTTAAAAGAATTATGATTCGACTATTTTTGCAAAGGTTATTGCCCTTTGTTCATTTCAGTATTTCATGTTTTTCTCCGGAGATTTTCTCCTACATTTTTATAGCATGTCAGCTAACCACTCTTAGAATGATGCAGATCTTATTTCAATGTAAGAAAGTATATAACACTGACTTTATGGCATTCGACGGGCTTATATTGTTCCGCCCCGCGGTATTCTTGTTTTTAAAATGTGTTATGGAAATATGAACCATATAACAATCCTTAAATGTTCAGCCTACTGATATAAACTTAAATGAAGGGGCTTAATCCATATTGACAGAAAGTAATGTGGTATGGGTAATGTTAAATTGTTGGAGTGTTGTCTGGACAGACCAAAATTAAGTTTGTTTATAACGTTAAATGGCAACTAGCTCCAAAGAAGGGGGTTGGGGGCTGCAGGGTTGAACCAAAAGAGAGGTGTAATCTTGGCATGAGTTTTGGTCTTTAAATTGTTACCTGTCCTATAAAAAAAGTTTGCTTAAATGCTTATTGAAAATTCTTGAGAGATGGGAAACTGCAATTTGTATAAATGCACACTGGGACTCCTAAGAAGTCATTGAAGGGTCCAAAAGGGGGGTACAGTTTTAGCGTTTTGACTCAGGTGACAAAGGTGAACAATTAAGGTCACCCGAACCTCTTACTATTTGTTTACAATTTTTGCACATTTAATTTTGCAGGTAGCTCATCGGGTGGTGCCTATAGTATTGATAACAACACTGGTAAGTACATGAATTAGGATGAAGTAAAGTGGCTTGTTACAGATCCCAACCCAGTGGTCTTCATGTTACCAGGAGAGAAAAATGAACGGTCAGACAAGGATTCCAATGGAATGCTATACCAGATCAGTGACATGCCGTGTCTCTTTCACATTACGCCATTTTTCCATTGAGTTCTGAAGTGAATTTACCTTCATGAAATATATTTTCCTGACTTTGTTTTTCGTCCTATTTTGATAAAACTTTGCATACAGCTGGCATGGAGAGTTATTCAGAGCTTCTTATTTGGTAATATTTATTACAATTAAATTTGTCCATGTTACTGACATATCAATTTTGGTCCCCACAAATGACATACAAGTTACTTTTGATGGAATTCTTACAGATACATTTAACTTATCATGATTGAATTAATGAATTTACAAAACAGATTATTATATAATATTATTATATTAGGAAATATATTTGGAAAATAAAGTAAAATAACATAGAACTTAATGGTCAAATAATGTAGTGAAATATTAATGAGATATCAAATATACATTTAAATTGTGTGTAATGTATTAATAGGGTAAAAACTTCCCTAAATTTTAATCTGCACCAATTTTGTAAATTAGCTCACCTGGTCAGAAGGACTGGTGAGCTTATGTCATAGCCATGGTGCAACATACGTCTGTCCGCCATCCATGCGTCAACTTTTACCTTTAAAATGGTACTAGTCCTGAATGGCTCAGTGGATACTGAATTTGATCCAGAGCATTGTTGGGCAAAGGGGGGTCAATGTTGTATAAACGAAGAGTTGACTGTGTGTCTCACCCACTGTAGTCTGACGCAAATACCATAATGTTTGTAGTCTTGTTCCTTGTTCGGAATGCTTTAATACAATATGTACACATAAGATATCCCCTGCATGCCCCATATCCTGAAATTGGAAATATGGAAAAATTCTCCTAAAATCGTGTTCCTAAATGGAGATGAAACAAATGAAATAATTTTCAACAAAGCGCCATAACTCCATAAAAAATGGTGGAAATGAATAGAATAATACCTGGATGCACAACATCAGGGGGTAGTTATCATATCTGAAAACTTTACTGAAATCGGCACCAGTAGACCGCATAAATATAATCTACAGACAGATTAATGAAGGGACGGATAGACAAGCAGATTCCCCTTCATTTGGGGGGAGGGGGTTATAATTATGTGATATTGACCTGGAATTTGTACCAGACCGGTATGTGAAATAAAATTCACTTGTTGAGGGGTAATATTTCATATTTCTTTAATGGTAAATAGCAAAATATTTTGTAACACCAAATTGAAGCAATATTAAAATGTAAAACCTTTGTTTGGGCACTGCATTGGAGATGTGGGTGCCCTATAGTAATCATGGTGGCTGTTAGTCTATCTATCCACACATTTGTTTCCGGAATCCAAATTTTTTAAAGGACTAATCATTTTGAAATTAAACATTTGATAATTATTTATTGTGATACGTACATGTATATTTGCAACAGGGGTTTAAAAATGTTCTAAGGTCAAAGTCAAGGTCACTGTTACTAAAAATAGACCATGGGTGTTATATACTGTCCTTATCGCAGAATCCAGAATGCTAATCTTTTTGAAATTAAACAAGGTCATAGAGTGTGATATGTAGATGTGTAATAATGTGTTTAAAAAGTTTCCAATGTCAAGGTCATCATTATTAGAAATAGACCATGATGGTTTACAGTCAGGCACATGGTGGGGCCCTTGCTGACCTGTCAGTGTCCTAGTGTGAATTAAACGTTTTATGACATTTTTTATTCAGGTCCAAAAGCTGATGTAATGGGACTCCTGCAGAAAATCAGAGAGAAGAAAAGAAAAAGTGTGAGTATAAAAATACTTATTTTATAATGCGGCTGGCTAGGAATAAGTGTCACCATATGAATCAATTTTGATATACTTTATGATTATACAGAGTATGCTACCACGGGCAGAGAGTCCAGGCCAAATAAAGAAAATAAAGGTGAATTTGTAAAAATCACTTCTCATTCAGTAGTAAAGGGATTTTGAGTTATTATAGTTGGTCTGGAGCATCAATTAGCCAAGAGGACTAATTTTGTACAAATGTCTACCTGGTATTTAAGGACATGTGTTTCTTCCTCTGGACAGAGAGACAGGGTCCAATAAATGAATGATTTAAATTTCTACTCTATAGGGTAAATGGGTGTTGACATTATTAATTTGGTCTGAAGCATCCTACTCTTATCGCTTCTGATTGGTTAAAATGCAAATATTGTGGATTAGTTCAATCAAATTTAGTATATAAGTGTATTTTGGCAATGTAAATTCTACCTCTGCAAGATGGCTGTGGTTTCCCGGCATGCGATTGATTAATATTTTGCAATATGAGCAAACTTTGTTTATACTTTATTAATTTGAGAGTCAGATTCACGATGGCCAACCTGGCTTCTGACTTGCTGATAAATGGCTAAAAGTTGAGTTACTAGCTGCGGGGATTACAATGTCATCTTTTGTGGCAAATTATTTGCAACTACAGGGCTAGTTTGGAAGTCATTATATGTGGTTTTGATGTAACAAAATGATAGAAATTTTTCTCTTCTTTTCTAAAAATGTGTTTTATTGAAAAATGTTGGACATTCAGATTAAATTCTAAATCTGAATTGTAACTGCTAGTGCTAGTATCCATGGTCATTAATTAGTATACAGCAATTAAAGTTAAACTGATGAAATACTCATTTATACTGGTAATAGCTAATCATGGTGTCAAGTGTTGTGAGTTGTCACCTTTCTGTACATATGTGTATTTCTTTTACTTCTTTATAATTAAAGTTTGCAATCAGTCAAATTTTAGTACATATGTGTATCTAAAAGAATGAGTACAGTACCAGTATAGTTTAAGGTTAAGTTATTGGTAAAATAAACGATACATATATGGAATATGATTAACAAAGTATAATTGGTACATGTACATAGAATGATGAAATAATCCTGAAGATTTTCCAAATTATATTCATACTTGTTTAATTGGTTATTAGCAACTTCAGCAGTCATTAGGAAAGAAGAAAAAACTATCTACTTCCTCAATCCAAGTTGGCTGGATGCATTTTCTCTATGGGGAACGTCGCTATGCCCAGGTAAAAAGCAGTAGGGGTTCCACAACTGGAGGAACAGGAACATTATCACTTCCATCAGATAGTACTTATGGCCTTACACTGAACCGGTTAGAGGAGAGGTATTTTCCAAATGGCCAGAATTCCAAGGGGAAAATCAGGAAAATGGAAACAAAACTTGGCACCAGCAAAGGAGAGGTGATCCCAGAAACAAGCTTCCCTCTTGATAACTACTTGACAAATGTTGTGTGTACACAAAAACCACGCATATATTTGCTAACAAAGGAAAAGGTATGTACAAATGCAATTACACATTACACAGGTTGGATTAATTATCAGCCAACTCATAATAGTTGCACATCAACAACTAAATTCAGTGACAAATGAACATATACCGGGTATGATAAATGGTATTATCAAAACTTGATTGACTGCTAGGAAAGAGTTTTAAAATGAAAAGTGCTGTATTATTATTATTTTTTTATCTTGCTCTTATTTTTTTAAACAGTTTTTTTTTTGCATGCATCATCATTCAAAAATTATTTTGTCTCCCTATGTAAATTGTATCATTACAAGCACATGTATTTTTTATAGGTTTATATGGGTTTGCAAGGCTATTATAGAGAGTACTTTGTGAATTCAAAACTTTCAAGCAATTAATATTTCGAACATACATTACATACTAGTACTTCAGGCAAATTATTTGCAAACATTGATAACCTTTCAACAAGGTATGGTTATGAATCTCAATTAAATTTTAACACAATTTTGATTTTGTAAATGTTTATTGAACAAATATGCATAACATTTTTATGGTTATCAATTTTATGTGCAACATACATTAAGTTACAAAAAAGAAGTACATGTATTCAATTACAACTGATCAATTTTAATATGAAAATCATTGCATATTTTCAGAGTTTGTTCTTTGACATTGAGGGCCTCGAGACTGGATCATCGGATTCTGATGGATTTGATTTGCCTGATCCATTTGTGGAATACAGTCATGTAGCTACGTCGACCTCGCCAAATGTCTTCACTATGGGCAACGTAACTACACCAGCATCACAAGTACCGGTAACCCCAACCACAACAATGCCTGTCGTGACACCACCAGTAAGGCCCATCACAACAATTTTAACTCCTATCTCTACAATGTCGGCCATACCAGCCCCAACAACACCAGTAAATGTACAGACACCAGCATCAACCCTATGGGTCAATGCTGGGACACCAACAGTAAGTTGTGTTGTGTGTATGTTGTAACTCAAACTGTTACAAAAAAAATCCAAAGAATTATCATGATACAACCAGCAATAGTCCGGTGCATCAAATTGCTTTTATATTTAAATTTACAAGTAGACTAATTTGGATGTATACTTTTTTTTAATCATAAAAATGTTGATTGGACATGCAGATTGACAATTAAATAAGATAGAGGACAGTTGAAAATATTAACATATTGGGCTTCAAGTTACAACAATTATTTAACTGATTTTTTTTATATAGTTTAATCAAGTCTCTATAAGCTACTTTTTTGTTTGATTTAGGTCTCAATGAGACTTCCAACAGATGGAGATTGTGGAATATGCACCGATAGACTACGGAGTGCCTTCTTGGTGCCATGTGGGCACACGTTCTGCATCTGGAATCAACCAGCAGGTTGTGTGCTATCTGCAGAACAGTTATTACTCAAGTCAATCCTTTATACAACTAACTGTTCTTTGGACAAAATAACTGTATGCCTTTTTTGATTGCATATATTGAAAAGATACTAATAGCTACTAGTGACGAGTACAGGCCAGTACTGCACTTATACAAGCTAAGTTGAACATTTCTTTTTCAGTGAAATAACTATTTCTCCTTATGTTTGAGAGCACTGCTGATAGCATCAATAAGTTTACATTTTCTCAATCTTTATGAATGGAAATAGGTAATAATGGCACCCAAATGACAACAGATGGCCCCGATTAACTTCTGCAATGCATGAGGCGATTTAACTTCCTGAACAATGTCTAGTTCGTAAAATACAATTTGAACTGTGAACCTTCGATTTTTATGCTTGCGAACATATTCTATTAATTCAGATCTTGATTACATGATGATGACTCTAACTCTCAATAGGCATAATTTGATACACCTGTAATGGAAACGAGGTGGTGAATACATATTTTTCTAATGTGATTGTCTCCATATGTTAACAAAAATATTACTTTACATTTCATTCATTAACGAATTTGGGGAACGTGCTGTATTAATGTTTTTCATAATTTGATACATATAATGAGGGCCCTGCATCAGAGATGCGGTTGTCCTATAGTAATCGGGTAAACCAGTCCGTCCAGCTATCCATCTGATTTTTTGCTTTTGCAATATATTGATGGAAATAAATGATCTTTTTTAAATTAAACACAATGATTTCCCTTTGACCTTAGTTCTGCTTGGTAAGTTTTTGGTCTGATTGGATTTTAATCAGCCATCTTAGATTTTGGCATGAACATTTTCAAATGTTGTTACTCTTAACTGGTAAACATTTTGTTATGATATTATGAAGCAAAATTGGTCGAAGTCAAATGATCAAGGGTCATGGTCATTATATCAAAGGTCAAGGTCATTTTTTATCTCTTAGCTAGTAAACATTTTGTTATGACATTATGAAGCAAAAAAGGTAGCAACTGATCAAAGCTCAAGGTCAGTGGGTCAAAAGTCAAGGTCACATTTAGCATATCTTAATTAGTAAACAATTTGTTATGACATTATGAAGCAAAGTTCATCAAAATCAAACAACTTAGGTACCAAGGCTCAAGGTCATTTGGTCAAAGATCAATGTAAAAAATTTGTATCTTAATATAACTGGTAGGCATTTTGTTATGACATTATATGATTATGAAGCAAAGCTGGTCAGAATTAATAAAAGAAAGTCATGTGACCAAAGCTATATGAAGCTTATGATGAGATATTGTTTAATTATTTTAAATATCTTACCACAGTATATAAATATCGGATTAGACACTTTCTTTGTACGTTTTGTATTTTATATAACATGTTTTTTCAGAAATCTGCTTGCAGAATGCACGAGTTTGAACTTTTATTATACTGGTACCATTTATACATATATTGGAGTGCTTAAAAACTACATTGATTTAATTTAGTTTGTTATTTTGTTATGTTTTGAGAAGACAATGGGTACTGTATCATTTTAAATGATAAAAATAAAACTTTGATATCTAAACCTGTGTTGTCGTTGTTGCTTTCTATTTATAGAGCTGTACTTAATTTAGAAAAATTATGGACTTTTCTTTTCTATTTTTAGGTCACCTGAGACAAAGTGACCTATTGCGATAGCATTTCGTCCGGCGTCGTGCGTCCGTAAACAATTTACATTTTCGACTTCTCCTCAGAAACCCCTGAACCAATTTCAATGAACTTTTGCAGAAACCTTCCATGGCCAAAGGTCAACCAAAATTGTGAATAATATGGTCCCCAGCCACCAGGGGCCTGAGGGGCGGGGCAAAAAAGGGTCAAATTGACTAAAATTTCAAAAATCTTCTTTTCAAGATCCAGATATGGTAAAATCAAATACTCTTCATAGATGGAAGGGACTTAAGGTGCTATACTAAAATTCAGCTGACTGACAGAACCACTATTTGTACATAGTACATATACTACCCAGATCTTTCACACTACTTTTGCATTACATGTAGTTCAAGTTATATTTGTTACAAAAAGATTTCTTTTCATTTGGCAAAATGGATAACATCAGTTTTTACATAACAGGCCCATGGGTCTCTTGTTAAATATTGAAGTTAATTTATGGCAAGGTACTGCAAAAAAACAAAACATTTTACAATTTAGAATTAGGTACCTAATATGGCAAACCAACTTAGTATGTATTAAAGGAACAATGATTAGTTCTTTCCCAAGGGAAAAAGAGGTACTGTTATGTGAGTACCAAAGGTATACCTTATGGGTCAAAGAAGTAATATCAACAGTAAAATCCCATATAACACTGGGTCCTTATCAACCTATGTTTGAGAATTGAGGTATGCCTAAAAAGTAACTGAAATGGGTACTTTGAAGAAAAAACTAGAATCCAAATGAGGACTTTTGAGGTACCTTGAAGAAATCAGAGTCCAACCAAATGGAGGTACTTTATAGGTATACATCAAGCCAGAGGTACTTTTAGGTACTTTAAAGATATACCCCAAAGTACCTTTTTGTGCCCAAGATACATTTATGAGGAATAACAACTAAAGGCATTTTTATTCAGGTCAAACATTTTTATATGTCTCTCAAATCCATTAATGAGATATAATATTATACATGGATGTATGTGTCACTTTAAATTTAATCATATATAATTATAATGAATATAGTACAAACGTCTCGTAAAATGTCAAAAACGGACGGATGTACAGTATTTATATTTGCATAAGCCAATGCCATTTTCCCTATACATATGAGGAAATGCTTCAACTGATTCTCTGAAAACGTTATTGCTCGCCAAAAGCGCACGCCTTACTCATATTACCGATTCTTCCACCGACAATGACACTGAACTGTAACAGACTAGATATTCAGTGGATTACGGCTGAATATTTTTATTATTATTTAATACGTCTACACACAAAGTTCTATATATTCAATATTGCACAAATAGAAACATAAAGCTACATGTACTTTGCATGAGATACTTTTTGATTAAATAGAGGTGTTTTTTCGGCTAAAATTTACTGACACTGTATATTTAACATTAGCGTCGGCCCCCGCTTGGAATTTCAAAACAAGATAAATACAAAAAGGTATGGGTATAGGACGCTTTGATCAGGAACAATTATTTTCAGAATTCATTTGATGACAAATGGGACCTCATTGACTTACACCTGTGTGGGTGTTAAAGGTGCGGTAATACAATTCCTCCTAGATCATTTAAATGACACAATTACCTTAACATTATATCATCATCGTGTGCAACATATTCCAACTGTTATTTCGATTCCAAATATTACACTATTTTAAGAAAGAATTGTTCTCTTTATTGAATATTAAAGCAGAAAAGTATGTGAAATTTCATTACTAATGAGAAAATTTCCTTTTTGACACGTTAATTTACATAGTTCTAAAACGAGTCTATTTTTCGTACTTGCTTGAAAGTTGGCTACCAATAATAACCTCCAATACTAGGAATTTCATAAAAATTGACAACCGGTAAATTTGTCATATAACACTTTTGATTCAAAAAAGAAAAGAAAAACATAGCTTTCTTTCCACTTTTCCTTTAAGTTGTGTTTCTTCATGACCAAAAGTCATTGGGTCTTGATATTTGGCAAGTAGGTTGTTCATGTGAATGGATTTAAGTTTTGTAAACATTGATGACCATGTCCTTCGTTCAAGGTAACAAAATCAAATTTGCTAGAATAAAATGTTTGTATGGTCAGACAAGGATGCTTTATTTGTTTAGAGTTAAAGATATAAAATAATGTAATATTCCTTCATATTTTGATTAGTGAATGGGCAAAAGGCAACATCAAAAATAATAACTAGAACTGTAAGCAAAAGGTTAACTAATACGACCCGCTCCTATATAAACCAGAACTGTAGGCAAAGGGCTAACTAAGACAAACCATTGCAAAGCAATCCATAGTCACCCATCGGTAATTAGTTAAGTATACAGGTCACTGACATACTTCCTGTACTCCCTTCCAATGCCAAACATTCTAACATACCAAATCTTGTTAGCCCAGATGAACCAGTTTTGCTGAAATCGTCCTAGTAGTTAAGAAAGAGTTGTCAAGACAAAGATTTTTAACAAAGGGCCTTAACTCCTTAAAAATGGTCGAAATGAAAAAATACTACCCTGATGCATGACACCAGGGGGTAATTACCATATCTGTAGACTTTCATTGAAATCGGACCAGTAGTATATATAATTATGAGGCAGACAGAGTTTTTTTTCTTCCACAAAGGGCCATAACTCCTCTGTAAGGGTCGGAATGAAAACGTACTACTTGGATGCACAATATCAGAGGGCAGTTACCACATATATAAACTTCCGTTGAAATTGGCGCAATAGTTTTGGAGGATTTGTCTCGACAAGTATTTTTCAACAAAGGGTCATTTCTCCGTAAAAAAGAGGGTCAGATTGAAAAAATAATACCTGGAAGCACAACTTCAGGTGGTAGTTAATATATCTTGAAACTTTCGTTGAAACTGATCCATTACATTAGAAGGAGTTGTCCGGACAAACTTTTTCTACGGACAGAGAGACGGACAGATACGCTAAAGTAGTTCTCCGGAGGAACGATTACTTTGGCAGAATACATATTCATGAGTTATTACTGTTGCGCATAGCTTTCAAACAAACGTTATATAATAAAGTGTTTTTGTATAATACAAAAACAGAAATGTATCGGTATTGACCATAAAAGAAACATTGATAATCAAATCTCCATGATTATGTGAAATTGGCCTTTGATCATGTTTGGCGTGCTAAAAATATGCTTTACCGGTTTCGATATTTCATAAAAATGATTCTGTAGACAGATATATAGTACTTATAATATATAAGTTTTTAAAGAAGTTTAAAATATAGGACTACCATTGTAACTATATATAGGCAAGTTGACAATGTTGGTAAAATTGTGAATTTTATGAAAATTTTGCATGTTTTTCCAATTAAAAGTATCACTACGCTTACTTCATGTATACCAATATGACATATTTAGTATCAAAATAACAATAATTTTATGCACTGTACACTATCATAATTCATTTTCAAGATAACATTCTCCTGTGACATTTATCTGTCATTTTGTTAGGATACCCCCGTCAGTCAACCTGGTGTTATGCAAGGAGGTCCACTACGGTTATCAGTTGTAATTATGAATAATCATATATACAGTTATTGATCATTTTAACGTATCTACATATGGCGAAAGAACAAAAAATTCAGAGAGGGGGCCAAATGTTGACCCCACCTTTACCCATCGAAAAAAGACAAAATAAAGTTATACCATCTGTATTTCTGCACTGTATTGTTGATGCAAGAATTTTTACAAAATTGATAATTTGATATATTGCTTATAAAACGGTCATATTGAAATACGATAATTATAAGATATATAATTTTAATTACACAAACTATTTATTTCAGTTCTTAAGACTCATATACATGATCGTAAATGAATATACAATAAAGTGAAAAAGTGACGTGTTTACAAATTTAAGATTCGTTTTTATCACATGATCAAGAATTTGGTGAATATTACTAAAACATGTTTTTCCATGTCATTTATGTCCATAATCTTTGCTCTATAAATTCTTCAATGTTTATGTAGTACATGTACATGATTTTCTACGTTGATTACGTTATAATTATGAGGTGCTCAATCCAGATGAGCACGTGTATTGAATAGATAGATGGCGAAGCCATATATGATAAATTTGCTCGTGCTCAACTGGAGTTATTACCTCGTAATCTGACCAAAATAGACTTTGATAAATTTACTCGTGCTCAGCTGGAGTTGTTTATACAGCTATTTTGCCGCTTGTTTGGAAGTCTTATATATTTATGAGACTTTCATACGACATGCTCATATTTATAATGCAGACTAACGACTTTTTATTTTTTACGATAATTCAATATGGTTGATGCTACATTAACTGTTCGGGGTAAAGTTTGTTATGCAGAATTACTGTAACTATACTGCGATTTGATTTGGGGTAATTTTATAGAAGACATTTTTTCAGCGATAAGGGTACATATGTGTAACTCATTAAATTAATTCAAAGTGTCAATTAACTGTTTACATGATACATGGACAAGAGAACATCAATATTATTACATACTGTCAAGTAAGGATACCATTTCTATGAATAGCACCTTTGCGTCATTCGGTGAAGCTGGCAGATCACTCTCATGCAGATTTTGCCCATTGACTAATTCCAATAAATCCCTGAATTCTCGAGAACATCCATATTGGGGGTTCGCCTCAGTATAAGAATCAGCAATATCATCAAGAACGGCGATGTTACAGGCAAGATGGCATGAGCAGTCGCGTGCCCCATATCTAAGTGGCTGGTAAAACATGACATTGGGTATACCAGTTGGAACCTCCCTATTTGGCTCAGATCGTATCCTGTGAACGTTCCATGTTTGTCGAAACCTGTCCAGATGCATTTGTATGACAGGCAAGAAGCAGAAGCGTATACATTGTATATGGAGATTATCAGCGTTGTTAAATAAATTCAAATCGATCATGTCTTTGAAAATATTCCTCCAGAACTGCGTGAATGATCTCTTGAGAAAGCTCCAAACCATCTCGATTCGTTGGTTAGCAGTAGATCTACCCACAGTAAAACTATTTTCACCCGACATGTTGTCGTGATGAAATGAACGCAATGCGACTTGAATGTCACGAATTATAACATTTTCAGACCCTGCATCACTGCGCACCATTCTTGGGATAGCATTCATCTCTTTTAAGCAATCTATGAAATACCTGGCGATAATACGGGGATTGTTATTGGAGGGCCCGGCTTTTAACCAAAGTATTTTTCGAGAAAACCCATCAATCGCTCCATGTATAGCAATACCAAATGGCTTCAACTTGTCATATCCATCGACGTGAAAAATAAAACTAGGACCTTGACTGATGTATCGTCGTCTCCTCAACAGATTTCTACTGCGTAGTTCAACCCCTCTAGGATCTATGGCTTTCAACGCTATTCGCACGGTTTCTTGCCTAACTTTTATTCCACATTGTGTAATTAAGTGTTTCCACATTGATTTGTACCCTAAGTCAATGTGTCCCATGGCATGCTGTTCGATAATTTTCAGAACGATTTCCTCGAGTGGACTCTCTATTCCGTACCGCCTTGCCTTCAATCGTCGCAAAATCCTTTTAACCGTAGTTCTGCTGACTACTATATGATGCACGAATAGTAGAAAACCACAAATATCATGGTAATTAAATGACATGTTGAAATAATACCGCACCAACTCTTCAGTTGACGCCTCTGCTCCTGGAAATGGTTCCACTGCATCATTGCATGTCAGCAAAGTCATGGTCACATACACATGGATCTGAAATGAAAATGCTGCATAGTAAGACTAAATAGAGAATATGTTATGCCAGTTGGCCTACTATTTTCAGAAATGTGTTAAAGCGCTGGGATGTGGTTTCTATGTTATGGTTCAGGGAAATGGGGTACAATAAGTAATTAAATAGCTAATAAAACGTCATCACTCGTTCAATTATTAGTATTATGAAGAGTAATTGTGTTGTATTTGGACAAAGGGAACGCGAGTATCCTCATTTAAGAAAACCCGTCTGCCCTCTGATTGGATGAAATAACATTTGATATCTCCACTTTCAAAATGTTTTCTCTCCACACACGAGAAATATTAGCAATTTAAGACAAATATATATGTGTATATTAAAATGTAACTGTAAACTTACCAGATGCATATTTCCTTCTGCATGTATATCTGCCCGACGCGCAGGTACATGTACCTTGTTCCTTTGCCGTCGTCGTTAATGGTTATACTGTGACATACAACCTTGGCTGCTTTATTATAACGTTATGTCAACATAATTATCTTGCTATATATAATTGATCATAACATGCAAACATATTTATGTCGAGTTAATTAAAATTCGATTTATCTTATCGGCATAATTAACTTAATCATTACGATAAATTATAATAGAACACAATACATCGACTTTTAGTTATCGACGTACAATTTAAGACGAGTTTCCACATTTCGACATTATTTTTCCACGTGTAAATTATTTTGACAAGTTATGATATAACATGAAATATCGACATTTATATAACGAGATCTTGTGTAAAATGTCGTTAAGTCGACATACCTTATGTCGATAAAGTGACATTTATTACAACAAGTAGAGGTCCATTTACGTTTCCGTACCCTTGGGCCACTTGTTATGTTATACAAAGCCCAAACCTCGCTATCCAATGCCCAATGGTTCAAACCTCGCCATACTTTAATGTTATTATCACATCACCCAAATGACATGCATTATTTCAGAATGACAAATATATGGTGGCATATTTCTGCCATCCACTTGCGACTTACGAGTTACGTATGTCGACATAATTATTGAAAGATGTCGACATAATCTGAGAATATGTCGACATAATCTGAGAAGATGTCGACATAACTGTTAAATTATGTCGACATATTATCACATTTGCCGAGATAATTTTGCCGAGATAATTATCTCGTAAGTGGGTAACTCGGCTTTTTATCGTGTTAATGCTCGGGTGTGACATCGACTTGCCACTTACGACTTGCCACTTACGACTTATTTATGTCGACATCCTAGTAGATTATTGCCGACTTACCAAAACGAGGCTTGTGCACGAGGACCGCGAAGGTGGGCTGATGGTGACTGAACAGTGGTGACTATACTGGTGAGTAACTTGGTAAAATCAATGTAAATATGGGAAATCAAAGATATGGATATTACAGTAGGTTACTATGATGTACAGAGTTTATCAATCAAAGAGGGATTTTACATAAATAAGTCGTAAGTGGCAAGTCGTAAGTCGATGTCACACCCGAGCATTAACACGATAAAAAGCCGAGTTACCCACTTACGAGATAATTATCTCGGCAAAATTATCTCGGCAAATGTGATAATATGTCGACATAATTTAAAAGTTATGTCGACATCTTCTCAGATTATGTCGACATCTTTCAATAATTATGTCGACATACGTAACTCGTAAGTCGCAAGTGGATGGCAGAAATATGCCACCATACAAATACTCTTTATATTTGTACGCATACTTGTTTTACTAACCATTTTTCAGTTTAACGACGAAATACTGTATTTCCGGAATTTTGTGTCCCGTCGTTCCGGTTTTGTATTAGTTTGACATAGCGATCACAGGACTGCTCAGAGATCTAGATTCCCTACGACAACTGTCGAAATACACATCTTTGTCGGCTTAATATGGACTACAAGGTGAGCATTGTGTTAAAATGGAGTCTATAGAAATTGGAGAACAACTTATCTTTTTATATTTACTTGTATTTCTTGTCGTAAAGTGTGTATACAAGATACGGGAAATGGGCAGTGCATATATAGTTGCCTTTGTTACGTATATAGATATCGAAAGTACTTGGAGTTAAAAGAAATTCGGAAGTCAGTTTGTAATACTACTGTCTAGCTAGCGAATTAGAGATTGTGACATGGAATCAAGATATATATATATCTATATATATTTATTGTGATTTGCCATTTATTATATAAAATATCACTATCTTTAAGTTGGTTTTACTGGAAAACATAAAATGTAGCCCAATATATCATCCATGTCTTCTGTCTCCGTCCCTTCTTATCACACATATACTTGAAAATAATTAAATGTTTATGTTGACCGCTGAACCTGAGTTTTTCTTTAGCATGTATTCATCAAATCTCAAATACACTTGTGGTCTAGGACAAATTCTTTGATGTTGTTTATTTATGTATTGTACGGAGATCGAAAGTAGATCTGATCAATTCAACTTTCCCCGACATCTAGATTATCACCCATTATTTTCGTTATTAGATGTATCTATTTAAGTACATCCTTTTCTGTTACAACAGTAGTTTAGAACAATTCGGATTTTCACATCTTTGGTCCTCAGCATCACAAATAGGACCTAGAAAGACGAGTTAGCTGTATCGTGCAGTGTAATTAATGTTTGGGATACATTACCTTTTACTAAAATATATATGTGTAATCACGTGTGAGTATTACTTCATCTTTAAAGACACAAAGTGATAGACTCTGATGGTTGATTTCTTAGTCCCAGAGGTTTGTTGAAACCACGATAGCCACAACGATATTTTTTGAGGAGTGTCACAGTTCATTATATAAACACACTTTATTGATTCTTTATTTGAAATTAACCAATACTACTCTAGATTGTTTCATTATTTCACTATTTCAATTCATTTCATACTAAAATCCAAGTATATACATCTGCATTACAAATCGTACTTGATATTAATTTTCACGTGTAAAAACGTGTATTTCAAATCTTACTTAAAACAAATATCGGCATGTACAGACGTGTATTACAAATCTTACCCGATACTAATACATGTAAAACAGAGTGTTAAAAATCCCACTCGATATCATTATCTACGTGTAATATAAACTAATATCTACGTGTACAAATCTCACACAATACAAATACTTACGTGTATACAAGTGTATAATATATCTTACACGATATGTATTTCTACGTGTATACAAGTATATTATATATCTCACACAATACTAATATCCACGTGTATAACAAGTGTATTTTATATCTCACACGATACAAATATCTACTTGTATACAAGTATATTATATATCTCACACAATACTAATATCCACGTGTATACAAGTTTATTATAAATCTTACCCTACAGTTATATCCACGTGTACTCACGTGTATAAAAACATATTAGATACACATAAATTTGTTAATTGTCGTAGTTGTTAAGATTTTTCCAGCATAGCCACATTTTATTGCCAAAGTTACAATACATTTCGTGTGAGATCAGTCTGTATTCGTACAAAAGAAACACATTTGTGTATCTGTCACAAACATATCAGATATTAGTGTTACAGTGTTATGATTGAGGTGTGATAAAAATCCACAGACACTGTCGGGTTCGTTCTTGAGTTTTATTCTGATGTGTTTTAAAAAATTAACCCTGTAAGTACATAAATACGGCACATTAATACACACTACCTCCAGAGACGTATATATTATAAATATACGTATCTGCTCAATCAAACCTCTCATTATAGTCTAGTATCATCAAGGGACATAAATCTTACATATACGATACCACAATGATACTTGAAACGTATATCACTGAAATAAGTAAATAACATCTTATAAAATCAATACTGATTACTTAAAGTTTGAATGAAGAAATTATAAAGAACAATTATTAAACTTATACTTTATCAATATTTCTGAATATTTTGATAGTTAAGAACAGAATACATATAAATAATATAAAAACTCACCCGCTCCTCTAATTTTCTTCAAAATACACTTCCAAAACTTCAAAAAAGGTCTTATACTTTCCAATGCCTAAGTGCTGAGTGATGTTAGTCAAGTTAAAAAATTATGCAGTTGATAGCTCTGTCCAATGTAATGTCCGGTGATGTCCAATGAAATGTCCGGTGATGTTCAATGAAATGTCCGATGATGTCTGGTGACTAAAACTACTCCCATTACTCACATTCTTATATATAGGTAACACACAAACAGTAAGGGTCCTCGCACCACATTCTTTCATAACATAACTATACTATCACACAACCCTTTAAAGTTCCTCGCACCAAGACCTTTCATAATTTTGAAATCCATGCCAAGTCATACATTAACATCAATAATAACATTAAATTTTCCATTTAGTTCTACATTGACAGACACCATTACTCTTCAAACGTGATGGCTAAAGGAGGATGTTCTCATGAAGTCTCTGAGATCTCCAAACCTGAGATGGATTCCCACTTGTTAGATTGTCCGATCTGTCTGGAACAGCTACACCAACCCAAGTCGCTCCCCTGTCTTCATTCCTTCTGTCAGGAATGTCTGTCCACTTTCATCATCAAGGACCTGTCAGGGAAGATGGCGGCGGCGACTGCCTTCCCATGTCCAGTTTGTAGGAAGATGACCCATCCGGTCAATGCGGCTGAGGACAAAGATAAATGGGCTCAACAATTCCCAACGAATGAGTTGGTTAAAGACCAGGTAAAGGTCACAGCACGTGAGCTGATGTTCTGTAAGCCTTGCGGGAAAAAAGGAAACACGGAGACACCTGCTACAATATTGTGTAAAACATGTGATGTCCTGTTCTGTGATACCTGTAAACTTGAACATCATGATTTGTTTCTGGAAGGATGTGAAACAGTAGATGTAACTGGGAAAGCCGGTATGGTACAACGACAAGTAACAAAACAGGTCAGATGTGGAAAACATACAAAGAAGATGGATTACTACTGTGAAGATCACCAGATACTTGGCTGTAGTAGATGTATCACCATAGACCACAGACGATGTGACGAAGTGACAACGACACTGGAGTATTGTGATAAACTGAAGAGGGAATCACGGCTGGATGACTTGAAGACATCACTGAAGAAAACTACAGAAGCCATTGAGCTACTGATCAAAGAGTTTGGTGAGCAACTTCAGACCCTGTTAGAAGATCAAGACACCGGATTGAAAAGTTTAGCAGATCTACGACAAAGGATCGACACACGTCTTGATACCATGCAGAAAAATATCACAGATGAGCTGATAGCAACTTACAAAGAGGAGAAAGATAGTCTGGAGATGTCTATGCAGAAATGTGAACGGCTGATGTCTTCGATTCAAAATACAGTAGAATCTTCTGGGAAAGCGATTCAGAGGAATGACAGTGTGGACACGATCTTGTTGTATCAGAGAGGTCAGGCGGAGGTCAAGTCTTACGAGGACCTGGTCACAGAAATGAGGAAGAAGTTCACCACAGTCAGAATCAAACACAGCGTCGACCTGAATCTTCAAACGCTGGATAAGGACATTCCATTGTCTATGGGGAAAATCAAAATGGAGAAGACTCCTTATCGTCTTCCTGGTCTTTTGTCGTCTCACTTGTCGGAATGTGGAGTGAGGGAGGTAAGCAAGTTCTGCATCAAGTGTCCATCAGATGACTTATACTGTCATGCATCTGGGGTCGTTTACTTACCGGACGATCATATTGTTATAGGAGATTATCACAACAAAAAGATCAAGTTGTTTACAGCTTCTGGGGAATGTGAAGATGAGATGAAGCTTCAAGGAACACCGCATGACATGTGTCGTGTGAATGATCACACTGTAGCAGTCGCTAACATAGCTGCGCCTGTTATATACGTCATCACAGTGGGGTCCTCTAAATTAACTCTGATGTTAGAAATAAAACTCTCAAACAGTATCATTCCGTGGGGTATCACTGCTACAGTTGACGGGTTCACTGTGAGTTCCAGGCAGGACTTGTACAATGTCCAACAGAATGGGAATACGCAACATATACAAACTTGCCCTTCTCAATGCCATCATCTTGTGTCCGATCCAAGAACCCTTCATTTATATGTCAGTCAGGTGACATCCACCAGTGGCAGAGTAGCGGTATACAGACTGTCACACGGTACTCGTACAGACGTGGCGACAGTTGGTGTCCTGAAGGGCGCGTTTGGAGTAGACGTCGACGTAGAAGGCAATGTGTACGTGTGTGGGCGGGAGTCTAACAACGTGGTACAAATGTCGGAGGAAGGGGCCCACGTCAGAGAACTACTGACGTCATCAGACGGTGTAGACAGGCCGAGGGCGATATCTGTCTGTGGGGACAGGTTTGTTGTGACAAACGAATCATCACAGAATAGGAACTACGTACAGATCTTTAAACTTGTATGATCAGTAACAACGATCTAAGTAAACAGACGAACCATAAACCGACAGTAGTATGCTGGTAGTGTGCGATTTAGTTGATATGAAAGTATAACCTATAATTAGAGCATGGTCGTGTCAGGAATACCAATACCAATATACTCGTCAAACAACGATGCTAAAGACGTACTAGTCTTTGTTTGTATTACAATAGATGTATAGTTTTACTCCTATAAAGTCTCAAGTTTTCTATTAGGAAAATCATATTCTCATAAACACTGTTTATCTCAAACATTACGATACATCGCTAAGTTAAGGACTGACAAAGTAATGCTTAAATGGATTGTTTCGTCATTACTTATCTTAACATTTATATATTGACAAGAAAAACACAATCAGGATGTGATTTTGTGATATGTTTGTGTTAATAACAGTTTATATTATTGGTCAAAGTACCAGTGAGAAATATGGATGTATCATCTGTTTATGTTTTAATGAAATGTGGTAAATATGTGTTTTAATGAAGTTGAAGTGTATTATGGTATGTATGCGTCCGAAGTGTTCGTGCATGACTTGTTACAAAGTGTGTCCATGAAAGTGTGGGATATAATTTGTTCATGCTGTGATAAAGTGCAGAGTTAAACTGTCTATGGTTTATGAAACGTTAACTGTTTGTACTATACGTTTGTATGAAATAGTGATTGATTGTACTGTACGTCTGTATGAAATGTTGATTGATTGTACTATACGTTTGTATGAAATGTTGATTGATTGTACTATACGTTTGTATGAAATAGTGATTGATTGTACTGTACGTTTGTATGAAATGTTGATTGATTGTACTATACTATTGTATGAAACGTTAACTGATTATACTTTAGGTTTATATGAAATGTTAGCTGATTGTACTATACGTTTGTATGAAATGTTAACTGATTGTGCTATACTTTTGTATGAAATGTTAACTGATTGTACTATACTTTTGTATGAAATGTTAACTGATTGACTATACGTTTGTATGAAACGTTAACTGATTATACTATAGGTTTGTAAGAAAAAGTGATTGATTGATAGCACTATACGTTTGTATGAAATGTTGATTGATTGTACTATAATATTGTATGAAACGTTAACTGATTATACTTGAGGTTTATATGAAATGTTAATTGATTGTACTATACATTTGTATGAAATGTTGATTGATTGTACTATGCTTTTGTATGAAACGTTAACTGATTTTATATTATAGGTTTGTATGAAATGTTAGCTGATTGTACTATACGTTTGTATGAAATGTTAACTGATTGTGCTATACTTTTGTATGAAATGTTAACTGATTGTACTATACTTTTGTATGAAATGTTAACTGATTGACTATACGTTTGTATGAAACGTTAACTGATTATACTATAGGTTTGTATGAAAAAGTGATTGATTGATAGCACTATACGTTTGTATGAGATGTTGATTGATTATATTATACGTTTGTATGACATGTTAATTAATTGTACTAAACGTTTGTATGAAATGTTGATTGATTATACTACACGGTTGTATGAAATGTTGATTGATTGCACTATACTTTTGTATGAAATGTTGATTGATTATACTACACGGTTGTATGAAATGTTGATTGATTGCACTATACTTTTGTATGAAATGTTGATTGATTATATAAAACGCTTGTATGAAATGTTGATTAATTGTACAAAACGTATGTATGAAATTTTGATTGATTATACTATAGGTTTGTATGAAAAAGTGATTGATTGATAGCAGTATACGTTTGAATGATATGTTGGTTGATTATATTATACGTTTGTATGACATGTTAATTAATTGTACTAAACGTTTGTTTGAAATGTTGATTGATTATACTGTACGTTTGTATGAAATGTTGATTGATTATATAAAACGCTTGTATGAAATGTTAATTAATTGTACAAAACGTATGTATGAAATTTTGATTGATTATACCATATATTTGTATGAAATGTTTATTGATTGTACTACACGTTTGTATGAAATGTTTATTGATTGTACTATACGTTTGTATGAAATGTTATTTAATTGTACTATACGTTTGTATGAAATGTTGATTGATTATACTACACGGTTGTATGAAATGTTGATTGATTGTACAATACGTTTGTATGAAATATGATTGATTATACTGTACGTTTGTATGAAATGTTGATTGATTATATTAAACGCTTGTATGAAATGTTAATTAATTGTACTAAACGTTTGTTTGAAATGTTGATTGATTGTACTATACGTTTGTTTGAAATGTTGAGTGATTATACTGTACGGTTGTATGAAATGTTGAATGATCATACTATAGGTTTGTATGATAAAGTGATTGATTGTACTACACGTTTGTATGAGACGTTGATTGATTATATTATACGTTTGTATGAAATGTTAATTGATTGTACTATGCGTTTGTATGAAATGTTAATTGATTGAACTACGCATTTGTATGAAATTTTGATTGATTGTACTATACGTTTGTATGAAATGTTGATTGATTATATTAAACGCTTGTATGAAATGTTAATTAATTGTACTAAACGTATGTATGAAATTTTGATTGATTGTACTATACGTTTGTATGAAATGTTAATTGATTGTACAATGCGTTTGTATGAAATGTTAATTGATTGAACTACGCATTTGTATGAAATTTTGATTGATTGTCCTATACGTTGGTATAAAATGTTAATTGATTTTACTATACGTTAGTATGAGACGTTAATTGATTGTACCATATCTTTGTATTAAATTTTTATTGATTTTACTACACGTTTGTATGAAATGTTTATTGATTGTACTTTACGTTTGTTTGAAATGTTGAGTGATTATACTGTACGGTTGTGTGAAATGTTGATTGATTATACTACACGGTTGTATGAAATGTTGATTGATTGTGCTATACGTTTGTTTGAAATGTTGATTGATTGTACTATACGTTTGTTTGAAATGTTGATTGATTATACTGTACGATTGTATGAAATGTTGATTGATTATATTAAACGCTTGTATGAAATGTTAATTAATTGTACTAAACGTATGTATGAAATTTTGATTGATTATACCATATATTTGTATGAAATGTTTATTGATTGTACAATACGTTTGTATGAAATGTTATTTAATTGTACTATACGTTTGTATGAAATGTTGATTGATTATATTAAACGCTTGTATGAAATGTTAATTAATTGTACTAAACGTATGTATGAAATTTTGATTGATTATACTATAGGTTTGTATGAAAAAGTGATTGATTGTACTATACGTTAGTATGAAACATTAATTGATTGTACTATACGCTTGTTTGAAATGTTGATTGATTATACTGTACGATTGTATGAAATGTTGATTGATTATATTAAACGCTTGTATGAAATGTTAATTAATTGTACTAAACGTTTGTTTGAAATGTTGATTGATTGTACTATACGTTTGTTTGAAATGTTGAGTGATTATACTGTACGGTTGTATGAAATGTTGAATGATCATACTATAGGTTTGTATGAAAAAGTGATTGATTGTACTACACGTTTGTATGAGACGTTGATTGATTATATTATACGTTTGTATGAAATGTTAATTGATTGTACTATGCGTTTGTATTAAATGTTAATTGATTGAACTACGCATTTGTATGAAATTTTGATTGATTGTACTATACGTTGGTATAAAATGTTAATTGATTTTACTATACGTTAGTATGAAACGTTAATTGATTGTACCATATATTTGTATGAAATGTTTATTGATTGTACTACACGTTTGTATGAAATGTTTATTGATTGTACTTTACGTTTGTTTGAAATGTTGATTGATTGTACTATACGTTTGTTTGAAATGTTGAGTGATTATACTGTACGATTGTATGAAATGTTGATTGATTATATTATACGTTTGTATGAAAGGTTAATTGATTGTACTAAACGTTTGTATGAAATGTTGATTGATTAAACTATTCGTTTGTTTGAAATGTTGATTAATTATACTTTAGGTTTTTCTGAACTTTTAATTGATAATACTATAGGTTTATATGAAAGTGATTGATTGTACCATAGGTTTGTATGAAATGTTATTTGATTGTACTACACGTTTGTATGAGATGTTTATTGATCATATTATACGTTTGTATGAAATATTAACTGATTGTACTAAACGTTTGTATAAAATGTTGATTGATTATACCTTACGTTTGTTTGAAATGTTGATTGATTATACTATAGGTTTGTTTTAACTGTTGATTCATTAAACTATAGGTTTGTATGAAAAAGTGTTTGATTGTACTATACATTTGTTGAAATATTGATTGATTATACTGTGCGTTTGTATGAAATGTTGATTGATTATATTATACGTTTGTATGAAATGCTGATTGATTATATCATACGTGTGTATGAAATGTTGATTGATTATACAATCTGTTTGTTTGAAATGTTGATTGATTATACTGTGCGTTTGTATGAAATATTGATTGATTTTACTATAGGTTTGTTTGAACTTTTGATTGATTATTCTATAGGTTTGTATGAAAAAGTGATTGATTGAACCATAGGTTTGTATGCAATGTTATTTGATTGTACTACACGTTTGTATGAGATGATGATTGAATATATTAAACGTTTGTATGATATGTTAACTGATTGTACTATGCGTTTGTATGAAATGTTGATTGATTGTACAATACGTTTGTATGAAATGTTAGTTGATTGTACTATATCTATGTGTGAAATATGAATGTATTAGCCGGAGTACCATCTAAACACACACTCTTTTTGATATCATATGTAATTACCTAACTTGTCATACAGATAATTTTGTTTTTGTATTCATGATCTACACCTTACCATTGAAATGACAATCCCTAAACTAACGTGCTGGTGTGTCGGGCTGTGTCAAACGATTGAAATATGTTATGTAATTTGATGAAAATATTGAAAAAACGAATAGGCATACTTTATGTAGTTTTTGTATTTGTACATACTTGCTAAATATTGAAATCAATGTCGGAATAAAGGTTTATGTGCTGATTTATTAATCGTCATATTTGTGAACTATAAGCAATAATTTAAGTTTCACATTTCCCCATCAACCACGATAGTTTTCCTCACTCCCGCCTCTTTGGACAAACCTGCTTGGAGTTGGTGAATAATTTTTTGGTAACACCCTGGACAATCTTCTACTTATGACGTCAGATGGTAATACTTTGCGACGTCATCTTCTATTGTGACGTCATAGCTCATAGCAATTGTGTCCCGTACTGGAAACAGGAATTATGCATTCTCAAAAAAAAAAAAAAAGATTTCTAGATATAATATCTAGATATTGTTGGAGAAAAATGACCCCAAACCCGTGATGGTTGATCATCAGGATTCTTTGCTATCTCCGTTGGTTAGTTTTCAAATTGTAAAACACACTCGTTCAACCTCATGTCTTTTGAAAATTAACTATACAATTAGATAAACATGATAACAAACCGTCGCTCGCTGGGGAACTTCTATATAACTGTGTTTACATGGAATATCTTTGATACGGCTTGGTAAATGAAGTACTCTTACTCTACTTTGTACATTTCTGGTTCCTATAGCGAGTTGTAAAAATAAAACAAAACAGCTTTCATAACAATCCTGAGGTTGTGTCCGTGTAAATTAACGACAATTATAGCATACCATTACAACTTAACTTAGGTATACTGTATACCGGGAAAGTTTGGACCATTCGACGGTAGGTCATTTTCGAATATTAGTTCTCCCTTAAAATTTAAATACTATGTATATAATGTGGTTTACAAATAGTTGCTGAAATGAAAAATTCGCCCTCATTACGGAGAGCGAAAAGGGCGAAAATTAAACTGCAGCGATTATTTTTCGGTATTCAGTACCAGTTAGAGTTAAAACGTGTGTTTATTGATACACGAGAAAAATAAAAAAACCATCTAGTTTTCTGACGTTATCAGCATATCAAGTTACTTTTGTAGTGGGCCTATTATGTGTACATAACGAACGTAAGCGCACATCTCCATATGAACCAGCAAAATTACAGTTTACTAAATGAAGGGTTAAACAAAGTAGGAATGCCATACTGACTGAAATATGATCAAAAGAAGATGTAATTATATTTTATCTGACGAAAATCTGTATTTGAAACCAGTTTCTTGTCATGTCATGTGTACAAATTACAACAGAAGTGTTCTTTTGTAAATACAGATGAAGAATAAGGAAGGTAACAATTCAAGTAAATATTTTAATCTTTCATTATAGTGGACACTGAATTACCATAAGTCGACAACAGGTCGTGATCACCACCGTAAAGTTCATCTCTTAAATCATCCCGGTAAGAAAACTTTGTCGAATTAGTTTAACAGTGATCATGAACAGATTGTATACACCTAGTTAATCCTGATAGGTACTGAAGGCTCTGTAGTAGCGACCTAATTATGGTATGTAATCAGGAATATAAAAGGAACCTGGTATGTTACTCTGTAGTAGCGACCTAATTATGGTATGTAATCAGCGTTATTAAAGGAGCCTGGTTTGTTACTGCTATGAGAAGGAAAGTTAAGGATCACTGATATGTTTGTAACAGAACTTGGAAGTGATCTTATCTTTATCTTAATACTAGAGGTAAATCGCAATATAAATAAGGTATTCCTTAATATACATACAATTGCTACATAAAAGAAAACTTACTCTTTAAAGTTCTATTGAAATTCTGAAGAATCTGTGATTCCCTTTTTATATGTTCAATACCATAAATGGTTGAGAATATACCGTTCAAGAACAGAGCAGCTCCCTGACTATGTTGGTGACATTGATGGAGGTAGTCATGATTGGGTGACCCAAAGGAATTCTCAGAGACGTCGCAGGAGGCCAGTATATGAGCAGGACAGCGGTAGTGAGGATGATGAAGAACAAGAGTATACCAGAAAACCACGCAACACTCCAATGAAGGTCAGACATATGAAGGCTGCAACATATGATGGTTCCACCTCGTGGGTTGACTACAATTCCCATTTTTTTTAGATCTAGAAGCACTATCGTGCCATCTGGTGGCTTTTTAGATACATATTTGAGTGTTTAAATATAATTTACAGACAACATTTTTGGGTTGATTCATTCATTTTATTATTCGAAAGCATCGCAAAAATTCAAATGTATTTCAAATGCGAAAGACAGCACATTTTTCTCCTTTTTCTCTCCGACAAAAATGTGTCGATTGTTGGAATTAACCGAAAATATCTGTTGCGTCATATCTCTTTCCAGATGAATCTAAATTAACTAGATATTTAAAATGTCGGAGCCAATATGAACAGATTAATTTCAGATTTTTTGCTGTTGTGTCCCACAAATCCTTTTCATATCATCAACATTTCTCAGAACTAAGATGACAGTAGCTCCTATATCGATGTTTAGATACATGTATACATATATATCCAGTAGCCCTACTGAAGATAGGCCTAGGACTACTCTTAAAAAATACTTTATCAGTTCATGACAGGGACAAATGAAGGCCTATATAATGTCACAGATTAGCAAAAGCTACATGTACGTGGCTTTTTTCTGACTTTGGGGCTTTGCCTTTTTCATATTACATTTGCAGGCGAAGTGAATGTAAAACCCAGATGGATCCTATACGCGCATATATCCGCCCTAAAACCTATAAAAACAATGCTAGTAACAAATCAATCTATAATTGTTATTCGGAAGACCTTTTATTGGTGAAAAAATTACACAAAAATACATCCATTCCGGAAAAACAACCTGCCTCCGTTGACTTAGTTGTATTTCATTACAATCGCTTGTTAAAATGTTGCCGTGTATGGAATTTGAACTCGTGAGCTTTTTCCCATCTTTTTGACAGGATATCGATATCTCGGCCTCACTTGTATTCCCGATATCAGGGGTAACAACAGTCAGACTGATCAGAACTGTGTTCGGTAGGTCCGGCATTACTAGGCCCTAATACTAATAAGTTAATGTCGCAAGAGGATGTTGTTTCATCTGAACCTACAGCTGCTTGGAAGAAGTCATGTATCAACTCGTTCTTCGAAGATGATGCGAGTTTTTCGTTGGCTTTGCAGTCATGTTTCATGTTGACAACTTTAAAAATACTAATAATAAAATCGGCACCAGATACATATAGGTTGGAACTTTCGGATACGTACTGATTGTCGGGCGGCTGTCGGTTATAGTTAAATTAAATTTATTTTTCAAATGAACCACATATCATTTAATCACTTTTCCGAACTACAAAATCAATAAATAAATAAATAAAAATATAATAGTATATTTGAATTTTTGATGTGCATGCAACTGCATATTTGCTTACGTGGCAGCTACGCGCCTGATCGCTTTAATCTGCATAGACATTTTTGCTTTTACTGCAAAACCTAAATATTGTGCTGACGATCTTAAAAATTCATGTGCTGTCTGTCTCTTGACCTCATCTAGACGTGTCACTTCCATAATGTTTTCTCGGAGTCTCTAAGGTAAATGAAATTATTACGTAGTTTCAGTTTGTTAAAAATACATATCTATCTATATAATCCTGAAAATGAAAAACAGAGACAAGTGGATATCAAGGTGACAAAAGAACCATTGTAAGATCTCGAAATAGATTGCTCAAAGGGCACTATGAACAAGGAAAGATTTACATGAATACTATTGAAAAATATACAAACAGAATATGACCAGATGTTTCGGAATGGTAAGCTTTTTTGTCTCATTGATAACACTCGGTATGCAAGTCTGTATTAAATAAACGTAATTTCACATTTTCAAAGTGAGAACTTGGAAAGTGACAATAAACCGCAATGTATACTAAGAAACATAATTAAAAAAAAAATATCGACCTGCATATTAAATAACTGATTAACTGAAATACCGTAGGATGTTTCCCAATGAGATCCTGATGAAAACCAAACACTTGCCCTAAGCCTTTAACACCACCATTTCTCGTCTCAAATGTATTCGGCAATAGTCAGTAATATCGGTATACATGGGAGAGTGGGAGTCTCATACTGGTGTGAAGAGTGCAAATAATCAGGGAACTAAACTCGAGATGTTTGACCATAGTTTTATAATGAAGTGAATATGATTTGTCTAAGGTACGTAAGTCACGATAACAGCAGACCCTGATATCAAGTAGAAGTATAAAGGAGATGTCAGTAGTTACCAGAATTCTCGTTAGTAGAGGTCGAAACATATTCAATAAACATGTATCTGAAAGTGACGTTAAAGTATCCGGAAAATCTCACAAATTCTTCTCCGACAAAATCTTCATTGCTCATTCGTTAAATTAATATGCTCAACTAATGATCTTATGTAAAAGTATATTGTCTTTGTTTAGAAAAATATCTATATATATTTGATCCCATGCAAACCAAACGAAGTAATACGTGAGATGTCATCAGTGAATGATTTATTTAATTCAAAATAATATATGCATAATTTCAGAATGAAATTATTTATTCTTTATATTTGTATATATACTGGTTTCACTAAACATATTTTCTCCGAAAAAGAAATGACTCTATATCCGGGAGTTTGTGTCCCGTCGTATCGGTTTTATATTTAGTGTGATATAACGATCACAAGACTGTACACGTCGCTGTTAATTACTCCCTACGGCATTTGGCTGAATACACATCATTGTCGGCTTTATAAGGGCTACAAGGTTAGTATCTTGTTAAGTTAGAATCCAGAGTAATTGGAGGACAACATATTTATTGAAATTTACTCGTATTTCCTTGTGTAAAGTTTGCATAAAAGATACGGAAAATGAGCAGTTGTTATATAAATAGTTGCCCCTGTTACGTATATAGAAATCGAAAGTACTTGGTGTTAACACGAAACGCCGACGTCAAATCCCTAGCCCGAGCTGGCAAATGAAATATTGTGACGTTATAATTAGATCTAGATATAAATATATCTATCTATATAATTAATAGCTTGCCATTTATTAGATTCAATGTCACCACGTATAAGTTAAGGATGGGTGCCAATTTTGGCCTGATGGTGGCTATATACACACAGCTTAGTTGAATACAGATATCATTGTCGGTTGTATTCATGATGAATGTCGTGTTAGATTAGGTTGGGCTACAGGAGATCGAAGGTCTATCAATGTGGTCGAGTATAGTACCTACAGTCAGCATATGTGCGTTATATTCTTACCCCATTGGTTTTACGTTGATTTCCTGTCGCTGGATATTAGATATTATTCGCTGAGTATGCCATATTACTTCTTGCAATAACAGTGACAGTGGTGGATTCAGAAACAAAACTGGTGAAGATTTTAAAATTAATGAAAAGTAGTGTGAGTTTAGTCGTAAAATTAATTTTAAAAAATTGAGAAAATAACTATTTGGAGGGAGAAGGCAGACTAGGAAAATTTATGACTCGAAACCTCTCCTGATCCACCACTTAGGTATATGGTTTCGGCTAAATCCTTTGATGGTGTTAGTAGGTCTGATCAATTCAACCTTCCCTGACTCCTAGATTATCACCCATTAGTTGATGTACCTATTTAAGCACCCCTTTCTGTTACAACAGTAGTTTAAAACATTCGGATTTCCATATTTTTGACCTCAGCATCACCGATGGGACTAAGAAACACGAAACGACTGTATCGTGCAGTGTAGTTCTTTTTGGCACTCTTTATCTATAACTGAATTGTTATAGTTTTAATCTTGTGTGAGGCGAAATGAATGTATCAGTCCCCGAGGTTTGACATGACCATGATGGCCATAGTTTTCTCTTTTGAATAGTGGCACGTTTCATAATAAACACTCACTCTATTGATTATTAGTTCACCTGGTCCGAAGGACCAAAGTGCGCTTATGCTTCCAGAATGGACTTGGAGTCTGCCCCACCCTTGCAGACTTAACCCCTGGGTCATAACTTCGAAACGGTTGAGATCCCCACCCCAAAACTATAAATACAAATGCTGGGCATAAAGAGACAAATGCAGCCATGATATTATAATAGACCCTGGGGTCTGACTGAACTCCTACGGACCTAGTATCTGAGTCACAGCTAGCTTGGATACAGTTGAGATCCCCATCCCATAACCATACATAAACTTGCTGGACATGAAAAATCTAATACAGATATGCTACATATTGCCTTGGATTTCAACGATACATGCCCTCTGGGCCTCTTGTTTATTTTGAAATTACTCAGTACTTCTCTAGGTGTTGTTTTGTTAATTTCAATACTTCATTTTAACCGATTCTAAAATCCAGGTATACACAGCTGCATTACAAATCTTACTTGGTTTTCACGTATACAAACGTGTAGTTTAAATCTAACTGGAAACAAATACTGACATGTACACACGTGTATTACAAATCTTAGCCGATACTGACATGTACACACGTGTATTACAAATCTTAGCCGATACTAATACATGTACACACGTGTATTACAAATCTTAGCCGATACTGACATGTACACACGTGTTTTACAAATCTTAGCCGATACTAATACATGTAAAACAGTGTGTTAAAAATCCCACTCGATATCATTTTCTACGTGTGATATAATATAATATCTACGTGTACACACGTGTATTACAAATCTTAGCCGATACTAATACGTGTTAAATAGTGTGTTCAGTTCTTACTCGATATCATTATCTACGTATGATATAAACTAATATCTACGTGTACACATGTGTATCACAAATCTTACCCGATACTAATACATGTAAAACAGTGTGTTAAACTCCTACTCGATATCATTATCTACGTGTAATATAATCTAATATCTACGTGTACACACGTGTATTACAAATCTTAGCCGATACTAATACGTGTTAAATAGTGTGTTCAATTCTTACTCGATATCATTATCTACGTATGATATAAACTAATATCTACGTGTACACATGTGTATCACAAATCTTACCCGATACTAATACATGTAAAACAGTGTGTTAAACTCCTACTCGATATCATTATCTACGTGTAATATAATCTAATATCTACGTGTACACACGTGTATTACAAATCTTAGCCGATACTAATACGTGTTAAATAGTGTGTTCAATTCTTACTCGATATCATTATCTACGTATGATATAAACTAATATCTACGTGTACACATGTGAATCACAAATCTTACCCGATACTAATACATGTAAAACAGTGTGTTAAAATCCTACTCGATATCATTATCTACGTGTAATATAAACTAACAACTAAATGTACATACGTGTATCACAAATCTCACACAATGTCAATATCTACGTGTATACAAGTATAATATAATAAGTACCATACAGTTATACCAAGTGCTCTCACGTGCATAAAACTTACTCGATACTAATAAATCTGTTTACTTTCGTAGTTGGAAAGATGTTTTCCAGCATAGCTGCATTTTATTGCCATGGTTACACTATATTTCGTGTGAGATCAGTCTTTATTTGTACAAAAGAAACACATATGTGAGTCTGTCACAAACAGATCAGATATTAATAATGTCACAGTGTTATTATTGATGTGTAATATAATTTTACAGACACTGTCGGGTTCATTCTTGAGTTTTATTCTTACACATGTTTGTGTTTAAAAAAGAAACATGTAAGTACAAATTACACATTCACTCAGACCTCTCATTATAGTCTATTTACATCAAGGTACATAAACCTTACATATACGATACCACGCTAAATAGAACATTAGATATCTGATAGACACATCGTATTATATCAATTGTATTGGTTACAATGAACTTCATATTTTCACAATATTTTCACAATATACATATCAATACTATCGAATCTACAAATCAATTCAAATTTATTATTGAATTACATTACCAATATAAAACATACATCTAGAATATATGAGAATATATATTCAACTAACCCTACAAACCTTTCGAATGAGCACAGAAATTCGGCTCTTTTGTTATGCTACTGAAGTAGGAAAACAGATCTATGTCACTGAAATGAAGGGAATGAACCTTATAAAAACCAAGACTATTAACTTTACTTTATAATTTGAAAGTAGAAATTATAAAACAATTTAGAAACTTACACTACATTATTTCTTTACCTTTAATCAGAATATTATGATTAAATACTTCATTCATAATTTAAACATAACTTAAGAGCAGTATTCTGATAACTAAGTACAGAATACATATAAATAATATAGAAACATATATTTTTAAAAACTCGCCCGGTCCTCTAATTTTTCTTCAAAATAAACGTCCAAAACTTCTAAAATTGGTCGTCTTATACTTTCCAACGCCTAAGTGCTGAGTGACGATTGTCAAGTTAAAAATTATTCAGTTGTTAGCTCTGACCAATAAAATGTCCGGTGATGTCAGGCGACTACAAGTACTCAAGTTCCTCACACCAAATTATTTCATAAAATAACTATACTATCACACAACCCCATAAAGTTCCTCACAACAAGACCTTTCCTCATTTTAAAATCCATTCAAAGTCATATATTAACATAAAAAATAATCCCCTGTTACATTAAATTTTCCATTTTTTCTACATTGATAGACACCATTACTCTTCAAACGTGATGGCAGAAGGAGGATCTTCTCATGAAGTCTCTGAGATCTCCAGACCTGAGATGGATTCCCACCTGTTAGATTGTCCGATCTGTCTGGAAAAGTTGCACCAACCCAAGTCGCTCCCGTGTCTTCATTCCTTCTGCCAGGAATGTCTGTCCACCTTCATCACCAATGATATATCGGGAAATATGGCGTCCGCCACTGCCTTCCCATGTCCAGTTTGTAGGAAGATGACCAATCCGGTCAATGCGGCTGAGGACAAAGATAAATGGGCTCAACAGTTCCCAGCGAATAATTTGATTAAAGGCCTGGTAAAAGTAGCAGAACGTGAGCCGATGTATTGTAAGCCTTGTCGGAAAAAAGGAAACACACGGACACCTGCAACAATCTGGTGTAAAACTTGTAACGTCTTGTTTTGTGAGACCTGTAAACTCGAATATCACGATTTGTTTCTTGACGAATGTGAAACAGTAGATGTAACAGGAAAAGCTGGTATGGTACAACGACAATTAACAAAACAAGTCAGATGTGGCAAACATACAGAGAAGATGGATTACTACTGTGAAGATCACCAGATACTTGGCTGTAGTAGATGTATCGCCATAGACCACAGACGATGTGACGAAGTAACAACGACACAGGAGTATTGTGATAAACTGAAGAGGGACTTACGCCTTGATGACTTGAACACATCACTGAAGAAAACAACGGAAGCCATTGAGTTACTTATCACAGAGTTTGGTGAGCAACTTCAGACCTTGTTAGAAGACCAAGACACTGGATTGAAGAGTTTAGCAGATCTACGGCAACAGATCGACACACGTCTTGACGTTATGCAGAAAAATATCACAGATGAGCTGATAGCAAATTACAAAGAAGAGAAATATGATCTGGAGATGTCTATGCAGAAATGTGAACGACTGATGTTTTCGATTCAAAGCACAATAGAATCTTCGGGGAAAGCGATTCAGAGGAATGACAGTGTGGACACGATCTTGTTGTATCAGAGAGGTCAGGCGGAGGTCAAGTCTTACGAGGACCTGGTCACAGAAATGAGGAAGAATTTCACCACAGTCAGAATAAAACACATCGTCGACCCAAATCTCCTAACGTTGGATAAGGACAGTCCACTATCTATGGGCAACATCAAAATGGAAAAGACTCCTAGTCGTCTTCCTGGTCCTATGTCGTCTCCCTTATCACAATGTGGAGTAACGGAGGTAAGCAAGTTCTGCATCAAGTGTCCATCAGATGACGCAGATTGCCATGCACCTGGGATCGTTTACTTACCGAATGATCATATTGTTGTTGGAGATTATCACAACAAAAAGATCAAATTGTTTACAGCTTCAGGGAAATATGAAGATGAGATGAAACTTCAAGGAAAACCGTATGACATGTGTCGTGTGGATGATCACACTGTAGCAGTCGCTAACTATAATGCGCCTATTATAAACGTCGTTAAAGTCGAGTCCTCAAAATTAACTCTTCTGTCAGAAATAAAACTCTCAAATAGTATAACTCCCTGGGGTATCACTACTACAGGTGACGAGTTTACTGTGAGTTGTAGGGAGGTCTTGTACAATGTCCAACAAAATGGAAATACGCAACATATACAAACTTACCCTTTCCAATGCTATCATCTTGTGTCCGATCCAAGAACCCTTCATGTATATGGCAGTCAGTGGATATCCATGAGTGGGGGCGTAGCGGTATACAGACTGTCAGACGGTACTGGTGCAGACATTGTGACAGTTGGTGTCCTGAAGAACGCGTTTGGAGTAGACGTCGACGTAGAAGGCAATGTGTACGTGTGTGGGCGGGAGTCTAACAACGTGGTACAAATGTCGGAGGATGGGGCCCACGTCAGAGAACTGCTGACGTCATCAGACGGTGTATACAGTCCGAGAGCGATATCTGTCTGTGGGGACATGTTTGTTGTGACAAACGAGTCATCACAGAATAGGAACTACGTACATGTCTTTAAACTTAATGATCAGTAACAACGATCTAATTATACAGACGAACCAGAAACCGACAGTAGTATGCTGACAGTATACTATTTACTTAGTATGAAAGTATAACCTACATGTACTCACTGAGGAATATCAATATCTTCGCCAAACAACGTTGCTGTAGACATGCGAGTCTTTATGTGATAATGTATAGTTTTACTCCTATAACGTGTCAAGTTTTCTATTGGGAAAATCGTATTCTCATGGTCACTGTTTATCTTCAACATTACGATACATTTTTAAGTTAAGGATTGCCAGAGTCATGCTTAAACAGATCGGTACGTCATTGCCTATCTTTACATTCATATAATGACGAGAAAAACACATTCAGAATGTTATGATGTGATTTGTGTGTGTTTAATGAAAGTATATATTATTTATGGATGTACCTGTATGAAATATAGAAGTATCACCTGTTTGTGATTTTATGAAATGTTGTAGAGATGTGTATATGTTTTATAAAGTAGAGGTGTATGAGGTTTATTCTTGCCTAGTATACATTGCTAAAATACCTAACATCGATGTACCCAAATCAAGTGTCCCGTTTTGGGTACACTCCCGATTTGGGTACGGTGACGGTAGTCTCACCCAGCATACATGTCTATTTTCACATCAAATAACAATTTGGTAATAGTCTGTTTCAAAATGGTGGTGGTGGATATGTTATAATAAATATCATTATTAAGAAATTATGTCTATTTTAATCAAATAAATATTCCATTATCTTTGTAAAAAAATATTTTTATGACATGTGGTACTTTGCAGTAGATGGTATATGTTTATTACGAAAGTAAAAGAAATGTGTGTATTTTCTATCAGAAGTCAAAAAAAATGTGCTTTCACAATTCTCAGTTATTATAACATTATAGCTGCAAGATACTAGCCGCCTGCATGATATTCCAATCTTGAATTATTGTTGGTCGGAAGAAAAGCCTCATTACCTAACCTTATTAAATATCAAAGACCATTTAAACATTCTGTAGTGCATTGTCTATAATTTCAATTGATGCAATCACAGTTAACTGAATATTTCTTATTTTCATGGTTGTGTATGCAGAATTGAGTTCTTAAACTGATATCGTTCGGACATACACAGTAGAAAGAAAAGAAAATTGTTTTTATCGTTTTCACTTTTCATAACTTCACGAATGTCAAGATTTATTCAAACCTTGGGCCATGGACCAATCAATACATGATATACAAAATACAATTTACAGAGATAATGTACATTATATGCACACTTGATAACCGAATAGCCTTACTGTCGGCGAACAGCAAATGTGGATGATTATATTTGGTCATTTGATTTTTAACTACCGCGAGCTCCTTTGATGACTTGACAAGTTGCCCGAACAAATACCTCGTGTCATTGTACAATGTCCTCGGTGGACATGTAACGCTATCTTTGATTGGTTCACTCTGTTTCAGCAAGCGTTCTCTTCAGTGTGATTGACATCCAATTAGTAGCCACTCAGTGTAATTATAGTCGCACAGCAGGTGAGACGACAGGGCTTCTCACAACAGGCATGTGCCGATTACCGACACCCACAGGGGCTCGATTTCGGGATATTTAACCAAAATTATTACAATTTACGTAATTTATTACTCAAAATTCCAAAACCTATCCCCTGTGCTGACAACCAGTAACTAGTAAAAAAAAGACTGACACGAGAAAAAGATAACACATCCTCATGTTATTATAGGACATGTGTAAATTGTCTTTTTACTCGTAAAACAAGGACCTGTGCTATCAAACACGGGTTTAAAAATATCTGGACTTAAAGAACGAAAACGCGTTGATTGGCAACGGAAGGTATACACATGATTACATATTTTGTCTACACATAACCACACTTGTTGAACAATTTTCGCACACTTCAGAAATGGACAGGATCTGTTATTTTTATTGCCATGGGCACGATGTCCTTCATGAGGGCAGTTGTCGCACGTCAATTTAGTGATTGTGCATCCAGGAATTGCGGTTGGTGTTGGTGACACAGGCGTCATTTGCTTTAATTTCACCTCCTCCTTTTTTATTCTGAAACAGGTAAATAGTTGTGCTTTGTTTGCCTGTAAGACGTTACAGTTCGTTTTCAAGGTATACGTACCCAGCGGACTTGACCAGAGGCGGCGTAGTACATTTCTCCATATCAGTTTTCTTTGCCGGGGGATTTAGGGTTATAGTTGCAACTTCGTCGTCAGCATTACACACACTTGATGAGGCGGAATCATATTTCAGTTGTTTTGGGCGAAGCGATTCGGCTTTTGGATTAGTACTGATTGTAGCATTAAACGGGCTCCTGTGTCTCTTTAGTGCATTCTTCGTGTCTGGAGACTGCAGGTTAATTATCTGGTCAATTAGAACACGTTTATATACGTCCGGGATTTGCATAAGTTGGACCTCTCTAGGTCTCAGGAATTGTAACGTTCGCTTGTTACCGACCTCATGTACAGTTCATACTTGTATGTTAGTAGACCTGGGTCCAAACTTTTGACAAAGTCATCTGCCGATTTTGAGTCGTCCATGTTGATTCTGTGCACGTTACCTTCATAATGACACATCACGCACTATGCAACTAGAAAGTACCGCCTATTTTCAATGCAGCCAATGAGATCCGTCGATACATCATCAAAGTGATGAACAACGTTACTGACGCAACTCAACAATCAAATCATCAAATAAAATCGTCCATAGTCCACACTTACTGTTCGCCGACAGTAAAGGCAGAGACCTTTTACAATCATATTTTTAATAAACCGTACTGTAATATTTTGCAATTTACTACACATCAATAGAAATGGATATATCTTTCATGTCTGTGGAGTTACATTCCTTACAATGACTTAGTTCTCTAGGAATATTTATATATCTGCCAGTCTCAATAAATGTGAAGAGGTATTTTATCCGGTAAAATATATTCTATACTTTACTGGATTATACTTAGTAAGATAAAATTGAAGAGAAAGCATTTGTACCAAAAGATGTTTACATAAAAACATTTTGGTGAACTATCTATCGAAGCTCTGTAAGAATCACCATGATCAAAAATTGTTTCATCTCTATATCATGATTAACTTTTGGTTACTAACACTGTAATGATTTAACCATATATCTCCGAATCCTAAATTGTTTAAAATCAACCATTACAGTGTTACCTCAGATAAAAGCATTTCTTAAACAAAAAAAATGTAAAGAAATTATGATACAACACAGTTTTCAATATATAAAAGTCTAAACCAATATTTTATCCTTCTAAACCTCCTGATTATATATAAAATTACCCCAATTAATGGAAGCGACATAGTTCACAGTATATCATATTATTATTTGACGACTTTTTTTTTTGTTAGTTATTTCTTGCAAAAGTTCAAATGAACCCTTTTTTATTTCAAGTGCGCTACATGCACCTCATATTTCACTTCATAAAAATGTATGCTACCTACATAGGTATCGAAAATGTTGAGCAAAGTTTTAATATTTAATTGAAAGTTTGAAAATAATACAAATATTGTTTACACCTGACTCAGAAAAGAGATAAAGTGTATAATTTAAAGTAAAAAAGGAATACCCAGGTAATAATATTATGATGAAGTGTAAAGCATATTTCTATGTATGTTCATATTTATATGATAAGACACTTGTACATACTATAGTTTACCGTTATTAAATCCTATTGTTCTCTAGCTGACACCAAATCTCACCTAGCATACACCCAACACCTTACCTGTATAAAGGAAAACTACCAAATGTATACTATGTGAGACGACATCGTGTATGATATGTATGCATCTGTATGAAGTATTCATTGATGATCTGTTGCCAAGTGTGTCTATGAAGGGTGGGATATAATTTGTTCGTGCTTTGATAAAGTACAGATTTATACTGTCTATGTTTGTACGAAATGTTGATTGATTGTCCTATGTGTTTGTATGAAATGTTGATTGATTGTCCTTTGTGTTTGTATGAAATGTTGATTGATTGTACTGAACGTTTGTATGAAATGTTGATTGATTGTACTGAACGTTAGATGACAATCGCATTTTTGACATGCTGGTGAGGATTTGAATTTGTGTTTTGGCTGACTCAAACAATTAAAATATGTTACATGATTTGAAGAAAGTATTGTAAATAAATAGGCATATTTTATGTTTTTTTGAACTTCCTTTATAATAAAATCAATGTCGGAATATATGTTTTTGTAATTTATCAATCGCCAAATTTTTGAATTATTAGGGTTTAGTTTATTGATATTCCACATTTCTCCAACAATCATGATACGTACTGTATCTTCACTCCTTATTAGATAAACCTGCTTGGAGTTTTTGGGGTTACACCCTGGACAAACTTATTATGACGTCAGGTAGCAATACTTTGCGACGTCATCTTCAATTGTGATGGCATGGTTCATAGCAAATGTTTCCCGGACTGGAAACAGGAATTACGCTTTCCCAAGAAAACAACATATGGCTTTCTAGATATTATGTCTTAATGTTGTGGGAGAAATATGTCCCCAAACTCATGATGATTGATCATCAGGTTTCTTTGCTATCTTCGTTGGTTAGGTTTCTTTGGTAAATAAAGGTGAAGAATGAGAAAGGTAAAAATTCAAGTAAGTATTTTAATCTTTCATTATAGTGGACACTGAATTGATGACCACCGTAAATTCCTCTCTTGAATCATCTTTGTTAAAAATCTTTGCCTAATTAGTTTAACAATGAACACTGCGACTATGGCACTACTTTCAGGTTGTGTGAAGGGAATGCAAATGGTGGGCTTAAGTGTGGGTATAAAGTAGCTTTTGTGGAGATTAATAATTCTTGAAATTGTTTCTAATGGATACAAGTGAATACTGTGACCATGAAATTTTACTTGAAAACACAGCATTCACTTCAATTTGTGCAAGGCAGAAAATGTGACTTAAGGATGTACTCTTCTGAGGTTTCAATCACGTTCAAGTCTCGTTTTGATCTGGTGTAATGGGTTTTTGTAATATTTAACAACTTATGATCAAGTTTATTAGCAAACAAGCATCTGAAAAATATGTCAAAAAACTAGATGCCTGTTGTTTGTAGAACTTTTTTTACAAGAATTTAAAAAAATACCAATTTGGCGGCCATTTTGAAAATGTGTATTAATGTGTATTTCTTGTGCTTCAAAAAGGGCCAAAATTTCACCTTTTTTGGCACTAGATTGATCACTTAAATTGTCATTGTGTCGCCATTTTTAATTGTAGCAGGTTCATTTTTGCTGTACAACTTTATAATGTTCAATATGATAAAAATAATATGCAACAAACTGGAAAATTATACATTATTGATATTTTTTTACGTATTTAGTGTAACTGAAGCACTTTTGATTTTTGACCCCGAAAAAAGTAAAAAGTAACACAAATGATAATGGGACAAAAAAAAGAAGCACACTAACCCCCCATTTTTGTAGATGTTTTAGAAAGAGAAACACGTTTTCATTTAATTCATTAAATATTAAAAAAAGTTAAATACCAGAACTTTTTATAACAAGCGTTTAATCTGTAAAAAAACGGTAAAAAATGAGTATTTTTTCATTAAAAAATTGGGGGTAGGGGTAACTAAAATCGGCTTTTTGAGTTAAAACAATAAAATTAAGAAATTTTACTTCCATATTTTAAAAGAAAATAATATTTTCAACAATTCTACAAACATTTATACATATCTGATAACACACTTGGAAGAAATTGTATGAATTTGTTCTGCAAATGGTCAAAACCCCAAAAATCACCTAAAATCACATGTTGTGGTAAATTGGTATCTTTGACCGATCATAGCACAAAAACGAACACACGGACATATATTTTTTTTTGCATTTTCTACTATGCCATTTACTCCTTTTTCCAAAAATCCAATTAAGAAAAAAAGTTTAATACAGGAAATTTTTGACTTCTCAGAGGTGTACATCCTTAAGTTGTTGTTTTCAGCATATAAATATTGTTTTTACTTTTTTTAATGTCACACTTGACATTTTATATTATTCATGATGGTGAAACATAACTCTCGTGAAAATGTTGCTCATTTGTGCAGTTATCGCACGCCGATAGAACTCTAGATCTGTTTTCAACATGTGGTCATGATGAAATACCTTAAATTGTACATCTATTTATTTATAAATCACGTTAATAACATCAAATTAACTGTACACGCTCGATTATTTTCCGAACGAAACAAACAAGAAAGAAATCCAACAGTGTCAACAAATAAACACAAATGACAATTTAATCAATACACAGGGACAGGAGATACCACAGTGAATACATACGGTGACATTAATACAAAAGTATCAATACACAGGGACAATAGATACCACAGTGAATAAATACGGTGACATTAATACAAAAGTATCAATACACAGAGACAATAGATACCACAGTGAATAAATACGGTGACAATACTACAAAAGTATCAATACACAGGGACACAAGATGCCACAGTGAATACATACGGCGACATCAATACAAAAGTATCAATACACAGAGACAAAAGATGGCACAGTGAATACATACGGTAACATTAATACAAAAGTATCGATACACAGGGACACAAGATGCAACAGTGAATATATACAGTGACATTAATACGAAAGTATCAATACACAGGGATACAAGATGCCACAGTGAATACATACGGCAACAATATAAGTACAAAAGTATTACATTAATACAAAAGTATCAATCCACAGGGACAATAGATACCAAAGTGAATAAATACGGTGACAATACTACAAAAGTATCAATACACAGAGACAAAAGATGGCACAGTGAATACATACGGTAACATTAATACAAAAGTATCAATACACAGGGACACAAGATGCCACAGTGAATATATACAGTGACATTAATACAAAAGTATCAATACACAGGGACAAAAGATACCACAGTGAATACATACGGTGACATTAATACAAAAGTATTAATACACAGGGACAGGAGATACCACAGTGAATACACACGGTGACATTAATATAAAAGTATCAATACACAGTGACAGGAAATACCACAGTGAATAAAAACATACGGTGACATTAATATAAAAGTATCAATACACAGGGACAGGAGATACCACAGTGAATACATACGGTGACATTAATACAAAAGTGTCAATACACAGGGCAAGAGATACCACAGTGAATACATACGGTGACATTAATACAAAAGTGTCAATACACAGGGCAAGAGATACCACAGTGAATACATACGGTGACATTAATACAAAAGTATCAATACACAGGGACAGGAGATACCACAGTGAATACATACGGTGACATTACTACAAAAGTATCAATACACAGGGACAGGAGATACCACAGTGTATACATACGGTGACATTAATACAAAAGTATCAATACACAGGGACAGGAGATACCACAGTGAATACATACGGTGACATTAATACAAAAGTGTCAATACACAGGGCAAGAGATACCCCAGTGAATACATACGGTGACATTAATACAAAAGTGTCAATACACAGGGCAAGAGATACCCCAGTGAATACATACGGTGACATTAATACAAAAGTGTCAATACACAGGGCAAGAGATACCCCAGTGAATACATACGGTGACATTAATACAAAAGCATTTTAATACACAGGGACAGGAGATACCACAGTGAATATATACGGCAACAATATAAGTACAAAAGTATTAATGCACAGGGACAGGAGATACCACAGTGAATACATACGGCAACAATATAAGTACAAAAGTATTAATACACAGGGACAGGAGATACCACAGTGAATATATACGGCAACAATATAAGTACAACAGTATTAATACACAGGGACAGGAGATACCACAGTGAATATATACGGCAACAATATAAGTACAAAAGTATTAATGCACAGGGACAGGAGATACCACAGTGAATATATACGGCAACAATATAAGTACAAAAGTATTAATGCACAGGGACAGGAGATACCACAGTGAATACATAAGGTGACATTAATACAAAAGTATCAATACACAGGGACTGGAGATACCACAGTGAATGAATACGGTGATAATAATACAAAAGTATCAATACACAGGGACAGGAGATACCACAGTGAATGAATACGGTGATAATAATACAAAAGTATCAATACACAGGGACAGGAGATACCACAGTGAATATATACGGCAACAATATAAGTACAAAAGTATTAATACACAGGGACAGGAGATACC